TTAGATACATTTACAGCCATTTTATTGTCATCACACCAGCGAAAAATATCTTGTAAAACCGTATTAAGTTTATGACTGATACAACTTTTATTTTGTCCAATGACTGATATGGTGCTATCATCAGCAAATAAATCGGTGTTATGATTAGGATTAGACAAAGGAAGATCATTTATAAAAATTAAAAACAACACAGGTCCTAAAACGGATCCTTGAGGTACACTGGTTTTTTGTTTTTGTAAGTCTGAAAATGTATTTGAAATAGATACCATCTGATATTTGTCAGCCAAATATGATGTAAACCATCGTAGCGAAGTATAAGCAAATTTGTATTTGTTTAATTTTTGAATAAGCAGTTCATGATTGAGAAGATCAAAGGCTTTTGCTAGATCTAGAAATACTGCCCCAACAAGATCGCCATCATCAATGGCTTTAAGTCATTTATCCAATAAAGCTGTTAACGCAGTTTGACAAGAATGGTTTGCGCGAAAGCCTGACTGCATTCTATACAATAAGTTGTATTTATTAAGATACTTTACTAAGTGTGTTTTCATATGTTTTTCGAGGATTTTAGAAATGAGTGGTAAAATTACAATTGGTCTGTAATTAAAAACATCCTGTTTTGAACCTTTGTTCTTATAAACTGGTATGACTTTTGCCAGTTTAAATGAAGATGGAAAAATACATTTTTTAATACTTAAGTTAAAAATATGACAAAGTGGTAGTGAAATAGCAAATAGTTACTTGCTACAGACCCCAAAAAATTGACAGAAATGACTCGGATTAGACTTAAAAAGATCGCGCGACAATAAATCGGCTTTTCCCTTTTAATTTAAAGAGGGTGTATCGCTCCTACAGCTGTTAATGACTTTATACCAGTCTTCACTATGATTATGTAACCAGAGATCATGAGTTGCCTTCCAAAATTAATTACTGTACCAGTCCGGATTTGAACCTGTGACCCTTTGCATAGTAAGCCAGTGCTCTACCAACTCAGCTAAACGAGTAATCCACAAACATATTGTTACGTATCTACTAGGTAAAGGGAAGCACGGCTACACTCCCCCAACTCAAGAGTCCTTATGACATACCGATGATATCGACATAACCTACCCTGGCTGTAGTATTACTTCTTACCACCCTAGGTTTTTAGTTGGGCGCGAATTAAAACCAGAAAACATTTGTAAGATCCAAAATGAATTACCACGGAAAATTTGTCTGTTATAAAAATATTATGATGGCCTTTTTGGAAACCAGAAACATACAACTGATTAATTTGCAATAAAAATGAATTAAACTAAAATCATTATTTCCAACAACTCTAAGAGATGATCCACCTAATTTATCTCGTTAGGCATAGAATATTTGAAGTAGTAGACAAATGCTAAAAACAAACAAGTTAATTAAACGTTAACACGTCAAATGAACTCAAATCAAAGAAGGTGTCATAATTTCAAGTACGTTATCACATTTATTTACTGTTTATTTCATGTGCTCTTTATTTATTATTTGTAAACATCGTTTTAAACAGATCGTATCATTTAAAATCATCATCCATATTGGTCTAAAAGAAAAGGCATATTAGAAAAAAATATTTAGGTGTATTTGAATTATATGATATGTTTGCAATGTTAACTTTGAGTATTAATTAATCTATTATTTGATTTTGTGTATTTATTCAACTTACATTGAAATGCACATTGTAATATTTATATAATATGGCACGATGTATGTGCAGTACAAGAACACATCACAATTGTTTTCCATAACAGTATGACTATCAATCTTTCAAATTAAAACTGATTTACCTGAATAATAATGTAGATAATGGTAAAATACAATATATTCCAAAATTTATTGAAACAACCGATATTCGGAAACACATGTAGGAAATTGTTAATAGGTTATAAACCATCCCAATCTCGGATGAGCAATGAAATTACGATAACAACGCCAGATGATATAAATACTTTGTTATAATATAATGGCATTATTTATCTATTGGTGTTATATTAATATTTTTGTAAAAGACTAACAATATGCAGTTTTGTCTACCTGAAGAATTCCTGAACTTCTGGTACTAATGAAACAGGGACCTTCACTGAGATAGCTGTGTCAGTGGAGTAATTGTTAACAGCGTGTGCAATATTGTTGTTGAATAAAAAAATATTGTGAAAGAGCTAAATAAAGATCATAAAATTTATAATACTGTTGTAAAGTGACTTCTCTTTTGGAAACTGATATTTCAAAGAGAGAAGTGGTGAGACTTAAAAGAGAAATGTTCGTTCACTCATGGCACTATAATGTTTGTTTTTTACAATAATTATTTTATATAAAGGGCCATATGCTCTAGGTAAATAAAATTCAAATGCATTTAATGTTTCAAAAAATTAAATCCTAACTGGAATTTGCTGTGCACTTTTTTCCGTTCTTGCAGAAGATAATAAAATTATCAAAGTTTCATTTGATATGGCCCACCCAGTGGCAGTTATAATTTCCAATTATTATCCTGTATCTTTTGTCCCTCTATTGTCTATGCCAATCAATACAGTTCACTTCAATTATTACCTATAATGAAGTTCTCAAACCTCTTTCCCAAACTTTGTTTATTTTAGCACCTTTTGAAGGAACGTAAAAAAGTGCACTGCAACATCCAGTTAAATTTTTAATTTTCTAACCCATAAAATGCATTTGAATTTTATTTATCTAGGGCATGCTATGCCTAAAAACTTTTCCAAATACACAAGTTTGTCTGTATTCAGAGTAAATTTTGAGGTGAAAACACAACCATTTTAGCCAAATGGTCCACATGAACCTTAATGGCCTCTCACAAATACTGTCGATTTCTATTAAATGCTATGTGGAGACTTCATGAAACCTATAAAGAACTTTTTTTTCTAATTTTGTTTTCTTTAGCGATAGTACCCAACCAACAGCTGTAGCAACCGTAGTAGTGTGACAGATAATTGACATAAATTTTGGCAAATATCTGTCACAATAGCAGCTAGCTTCCTGTAGTAGCAAGCAAATGTCTTTGCTTAACAAATTATTTTCCGTTTTTTTAATATTTCCTTGTTCAAGTTAGAGATCCTCCTCTTGATAGCTGCACTTATTTGTATGTCTAGGATTTTTTTTCGGAGTAATCGGTGTTAGTGATGGATGTTGTACTGTGCGGTATCTTTTAACGATTCTTGCTATACTTTTTTATGTATAAGGTGAATTGCGACTTAAAATCTGTCGAATCTGTCGAGGGTTAAGTTTCACATCTATATATGCAAGATATTTTCTTTGAATTAATACAGTGTTTAGGTACAAAAATTAAAAATTGCCTATGTTTCGTCATGGATTCCTGACTAAGTACGTGAGTTTATCCTAGTGCATGTGACTTAACGTTTCATCGATGTATTATCTGATAATACAGACTGGTTTTGACGAAAGGTTTAGGCTAGCTTTACTTTTGTTTTATTCATCTACTTTTTGATTCTGTCAAGCAGGTTCAACTATGTTTAGGATAAACAAAAGACGAAAAACGGGTTAAGATATTTTTTAGCATACTCTAATTTTTTATCATAAAAGACACTATTTCTGTTTCTATGGGCTCGCACACCAGTATATCCGCATAGGTACAACCGGAACATCTCTCAATTCTTGTGCACGGGGATATATTACAATTTTTGGATCTCTGTCCTTTGGTAACGATATTTTCTCAAAATGTGGTTCACAACTGTCAAGCGTTGCTAAAGGATAATTTTCAGCTGTAATTGTAGAAAGAGTAAGAAGTTAAAACATTTTATTGGAAATCTTTATTCAAAGTTTTTTTGTCTTATGTATTGATAATTTTTCGAGGAAGTAATATTCAAAGCTCTATTTTGATCATTTTCAAATGTATAGATTTGATATCATTGTAACAATTTAAGTTTTTTTTGTTGTTTTTTTTTTTACTTTTGTTATTAACCCATAATATTTACCTAAGATGTAGTTAAGAAAAAAGAACACAATTAATGATAAACAGCTGTGCTAAGATCACATCAAATACTACACTGCTCTTCGTATGCGTTGTGAAATTATTGTCAGCTTAATTTCTATATTGTAGAAGGCATTTATTCAGAAAACAGTAAAATAACACTGCGGAAAAACTTGCAATGAATACCCGTACAAAACAAAATTTCCTTTTGATATCTTAGTGTATTTGATGGTTAAATTTTCATTACTTTGTGAAATAGATCTGTTTGTTTTTCAAACCGAACGGGTGCTATCTTTCATCAATTACAACCATGTAAATTTGTAGTTTGATCCAAACACACCTTGAGCTGTTGTGCAACATTTGGTGTGTGACATTTAAAAATATTACCTACATTCTGACAGTAAAGTAGTGTTACTCTAAAACGACAAAACTGTTGTTATTTTTTTCAAAATCGAAAGGTAGCCAGCTATCTTCCAAAGATTCAAATATTCCTTTCATTAACGTTTCGTGAATCTTTGTAACAGCATTCTCTAGTTTTTTAAACCCACTTTACAAGGACATGAAGAAATTTGATACTCATGAACTTATAATGTAGTTACGATTCCAAGGTACATGTATATATTTAAATTATTCCTACCGCATGTTTTATGCTTATGATAGCCTATTTGCCATAGTCATTTTCAACGTTTTACGTTTATAGAAACTTAACCAGCGAAAAAGTACAAGATATAATTGTTTACCATATTCGTTTATATGTTATACATATTGTTAAAGAGAGGCGAATGATACAAACGTGATTTGTAAACTATACAATATTTTGATTTTGTTATTTATAAATAATAGATAACTAAATGTACAGACACAATTATATGATATCATACACGGTTTGTTAAATCTTGTAAACACTTACAAAAAATGTATGCCTTTTCAAGCGAATCATGCGTTACATTTTTAAGAGTTTTTTTACATAGGGTAATGTTGATTACTCTTGCATGTCAAATATACACATTCTTATTTTGTTTGTTACTTTAATGTACAGGTGATCAACGTTCGGTAAAATGGTTTCCTATAAGATAACGGTTAAAACTGGAGACAAAAAGGGAGCAGGAACGGATGCTAATGTTTATCTAATACTTCATGGAAAAGGTACCCAGACAAACAAGCAGACTCTTGATACCTTTTTTAAAAATGATTTCGAAAGAGGTAATATTGATAACTATTCTGTTGATTCTGAAGTCAACATACCAGAAGTGCAAAGAATTGAGTTGTGGCGAGACGCATATGGTTTGTTCAGCAACTGGTATTTAGATTGGATTGAAGTTACCAATTTGGCAACCAACATCACATCAATATTCCCAGCAATGAAATGGATCAAAGAGAACCAGCGTTACTTTTTCAATCACATTGACACATGTTTGCCACAAGACGATCCATTCAAAGAAATGAGAATGGTAGAGCTTCAGAACATACAGAGAGATTATCAGCTTCAAGTTAAGGTACCTGGATTACCTGCTCAGGTAAGAATACAGTAAAATGAACTGAACACTTTATAAATTTCATGAATTTTTCACCAAATACTTCATTTTGACGTTTAACACCACCATTTCTTGAAAGTTACATCCAGAAATGACGTATACAAACATAACGAAACATACCTACCTCATATTTGTATATCCATATCTGCTTTTTTTTAATAAAAGTTGTACCTAACGTCAGTATCAAATTTGCAATACATTAACACATTTTTCAAATTAGGTTATCTCCATTTTGCCAGAAATAAAAATCACAAGAAAATACGTTTTATCGACCACCACAAATGGAAATAAAAACTGTAATTTTGCGATCTTTTTATAACTGAAAAATCTTTGACGGGATTCATTTCGCAAAAAATGAAACCTTGCATTCTAAAGTTTACAAGCATGATTTATGTTCAGCTTTTTGTAAAATCGCAATAATTCATCTCGAATGTAGGGCCATTGTTCAGCAATTGCAATAAAAAATGAACGAAAAACCGAATAAATACCGTATTTTGCTTCTATACATCTTTACGTCTGTAACCTGATGAAAAGATACTGAGTGCATTGTGCCTCTATATTATATTTACCATTGAATTTAGGTGTTCAGACATGGACCTTTCCTCTAACCAAAATTATGTACTTTAATTTTTGTCTATATTTTAAGTAAATCTTTGCAGTACTTTACTTTTGTGGTATTTATTCACACTTTCAATAATTGAGATTATACAAAGTGAAAGCATTTTACAGTTCGGGGGCTTTTTAAAATGTCGGTCTGTTACGATTCATTAAGTTACACAACTAAAAATTAAAACCTGCACAAAGTTGTTTTAAATCTGTTTAGAATTATACCTTTAGCTAGACAATATAGAATCAATTTTTATGTTGGTACATGTAACAGTAACATCCCGGAGTAAACAGCTGGTAGTGTATGTACAGCGTCGTTAATAAAAATCATGCTAAATACGTACCGATTATCAGATTGTCTGCATATTGATATTTATAGAATAACTAATCGAACAACACATTAATTCACGAATGCGCGTAGCGCATGAGTTAATTATCAGTGTTGTTCGGTCACGAGTTAATTTTTTTTTCGATATTTGAATTCTTTGATTAGTTATTCTTTTTATTACATTGGCAAAGGACTTTTTTTAATGAAATTAATGTAGAAAATGTAAGGAACTATATCTTTTTTCTACGCATTCACAATTTGTTTTGATCCGACGTTATCGACGTCATGACAACGCATATTGTTGTATGACGTCAGAGAGTGAAATAACCACGTTTATTTCACATGTGAAATTATCGGTTTTTATTTGACTGGGAAATCAATGTAATTCATTGCTACCAATGTAATAATGTAAAATATCAGCTGCGAGTCACAACATGAAGCGTTTGGTCGAGTGAGCGCAGCGAACGAGTCCAAAAAGGCTTCATATTGTGTCGAGCTGAGCTGATATTTTACAATATTAATACGCAGATAACCAAATATTCGATTTATCGGGTTGTATTTGCGTATTTTGCATGATAGAAACAAGTGTTTCTTTTTTTCACCAGCAAACCGGAAGATGACTTGACAAATTCGGGTTAAACTTATCAACGTCGGTTCATTTATTATGAAGTCGGTGATATGTCCGGGTCAAAGTTATCATGGCCAGGTCAACGTATTTAACGTCACAAAGCCGTCATATGTAATTTTATCAATAGCTGAGCAGATTTATATAGTCAGTGGGACGACCGATAATGCATACTACCAGTTTCATACTGTCAATAATCATTTACCATTTACTCACTCAAACATAGTAATGCTACCTACATATTGTATAGGCTACATGTGTTTGATTTAAGTGTATTTCCTTCAAATAATTTAACATGCTACTATTTATACCCAGAAACATGACGTTTGCATATAGTTGTTGCCTAGGATAATTCACAAGTTTGGGATACTAAAAATGTATCTTACACTAACAGAAAACCATGGTATTGCCTAGAAATTAGCAACGGTTACAAAACCTACCAAAATCCAAACCCGATTATCCCATGAGATCTACGGAAAGATCGAAAATATCTAAAACAGTAAAACAGGCATGATATCATAGTTTATTTACTTGGGTGGATAGTTGACTCGTTGGCAATCATACCACATCTCCTTTTTTAAAGGCAGTGCTTTAATGCCTTTCTAGTTGTCGTGTTAATATTTCTTTCCGCGATATCCAACTTATCTACGTGGGGGGTCATTTAGCTCCAAGTAGATCCGGAAAATGTTGATTCTCTCCTCTTCTTATTGTGGTATAAAATGTTTTTTGTCTCATTTCATTTACATTGGGAAATAGAGAAACGATCATTGTGCTTTGTTAGTTTTAAAAACTTTTGATATATTTGTATTTTACATTATAAGCAGTCAACCGATTGACAAACTAGAATTATTTGAATTCCGTGTGGAAAGAGCTCGGGTTAATTTCGAGTATTTTCTGCAATCCAGATGTTTATAAATCATTTCAGTCGTTGATATAATAATTAAAGGTCGACTGAACATGAATTATATTATACAATTTAAAGCGCATTTCTGTTTATGCACGCGAACCCGTCTAACGTTATTGTTATTTCGCAGTTATATAAAGTAGCAAATTATCGTTCCTGAATAGGTGGCGCCGTGGTAGCCGATCCTGTACTTCAACTTCCGGTTTCTGCACTGTGCAACTATTACAGTTGCATTTTTAATTAACGATGCAAAGTACTTGTTGTTGTGTACCTGGATGTCATTTAAGAGGAGGACATGCATTTCCAAATGACTTAAAAAGAAGGAAAAGTTGGATCAACGCCATGGCCCATACGCAGATTGGACGAGAACACGATGAAATCGTGGAGTCCATCTCAATCAGCTGTTGTTTGCAAGGCACATTTTACTGAAAAAGACTACGTGCAGGAAACTATTCATGGTAAAACTCTATTTTCTTTTAAAAATATATAGTTATATATGTAATCGCCATGCGAATAAACCAAAGTCAGTTTACAACCGCAATTATCGTTTTAGAATAAAAGGGGGTGGTTAATTCAAGACGTCATAATTTTTTGGATAACGATTCAATGTGATCTGTTTGAGATTTTTTGGTGCTTGCTACAATTATAATGATTTCTTACAAGAGGTATATCATACTGAGAATTATTTTAGCAGTAATAATGCTTATGTAGTAATGACAGGAATGCATAAGCTATGTCTCATAGACTTTCTTGAAAAATATCAATGACAATGTTAACAGGAACAAAACAATGACATGCTCTCATCTATATTATAGTTATTTAGGTACAAACAATGTATGTTTGTTGCATACGTCTCTCATTGTTTGTCCTTTGGATTTACATAACAATTTTAACATACATTTTGATGTACATTGAATCAGGCTAACATAGTTTTATCCAGATTGTAATGAATAAATCTAGTTAATATTTTGCCAGGTTACGAGTACAAAGGAATTATAGTTATCTCGTACCATTGTAACTCGTACCAATGTCAACTCGTACCACTAAACAAAAACTCGTTCCAATGCAAACTCGTACCACTGCTAACTCGTACCACGGTAAATTCATACCATTGTAAAATTCAAATGGTGTTTAATGATGAATATATACTTTAATTTCACTCAATACCTCTTAAGTCTGTAAAATGTATATAATTTGAAATTACAATAACCAATTTGTAGCTAATTTTCCTTGTCTAATTGGATAGAGAAAACCGTGGCAGATTGGCTTTGTTGTCTCCCTTGAATAGACTCTTTTTTAAACTTTTACTGACAACTATTTGATTTAATTTTTAATCATTCCAAATCAGTAACATTGAATAGATTTGGGTATTTTTCTATTGTTTCTAAAAGGAATTTTATATAATGAAAGAATTTATTGATTGTGTTTTAAAGGTTTAAAATTGTTTATGACCAACAGTTAGAAAGTATGAAATTTATTTTTATACAATATTCAGCACATTTCAGCAGAATATGACCATGCTTATATGATTATACAAGTTGATTAGTTAAAGATAAAAAAAAACCAAGTTGATTAGTTAATAATCAACCAATAATCACACAATCAAAGGAATTTAATATATCTATTAGCATGGTAATTAAGAAATTACATTTGTATTTTTGTCTAAGTTTTCATTAAAATCTGGTATAAATTTCAAAGATATTTTAATTTTTTGTATAAAGATTAAAAAAAAAATAATCATAAAACATTTGTATTTTTGTCTAAGTTTTCATTAAAATCTAGTATAAAATTCAAGTAATTCAACTTTTTTTATTTAGTTTACAAAAAAAAAAAATCATAAAACTTTCGTATTTTTGAATATATTTTTAATGGTACGAGTTTGCAGTGGTACGAGTTCTGATTGGTACGACTTCCCAGTGGTATTTACGTGGTACGAGTTTACAATGGTACGAGTTAACTTGCTTCTGTACAAAGTATGCATTGCTAATGGAAGTTCATTTAATTATCCAAAAACTAATGTTTTATAACCTTTTTCAGGGCACAAACCCACCATACAGAGACTTAAGTCTACTGCCAATCCCAGCCTATTTTCCTGGACCAAGCAAGAGACTGAATCGTCCGCAAAAAGAAAAATCAGGGCAGTTTCCTGTGAAAACAAAAGAACTAAACTTGATGAATATTGTAGTAGAAATCTAGAGGAAAGTTTTGATTGTAAAGTTGGTTTTCCTGAAGAAGTAATTCATACTGCAGACAGGATTTATGACTGTCCACCACCAACTGCCGAGCTAATGTTGAGCTTCACAGATGGAATTACGCAAACACCATCAATGCCTATATTTTCAGCAGAGAATTTTGAAATGAAGACACGTGACACAGCCATGCATTTTTATACCGGTTTAGAGTTGTATACTAAATTTTTATTTGTTTTGACCACACTTGGTCCAACAGCACATTGTTTGAGATACATATATTTTCAAATTGATAGGGTGTCATTTGAAAATCAGTTTTTTTATGACTTTGATGAAATTGATGCATTATACAACCAACTTTGAACTGTCTAGATTCTAGATTGAAACTAGTGTTAAGAATATTGTGTAAACATGGATTGTTTTTAGTGGTTTAGTCAGGTATTTTTCGCCATCCAACTTAGAATTAAAGTTTCCTACAACTTGGATTATTATTGACAGCACAGAATATCCCGTGATAAAACCTAAAGCTCCTAGAGCTCAGGCAACCTTTTCATCATATAAAAACAGAAACACTGAAAATACTTGTATGTTCGACACCTGGTGGTTTAGTCAACTATGTCTCTAATGCATATGTTGGTTGTACCAGTGACTGTGAAATAGTTGAAAGATGTAGAATAGTTCAATTATGTGATCCAGGTGACAGTGTGATGGCAGACAAAGGTTTAAATGTGCAAGATTTGTTTGCTCATTTTTTTCAAAAAAAGAAACAGAATTAGTTCCAAAACTCTTATACGGGATAGAAAAGTCTCCAATTAACACGTGCACATAGAGCTAATTATTGGACTTGGCAAAACATACAAAATTCTAATAAATCCTATGAATGGAACTGAAACAAAACTTTCATCTGAAATAACATTTAGTTGTTTTATGTTGTGTAATTTTAGAACTTGTATTGTGCCAAAGGATGCATAAATAAAAGTGACGCAATGAAGTTTGTTCTGATATATATATATAAATATTATTTACAATTACATGCACATGTAAATTGTAATGCATATAAAAATAAGGAGATGTGGTATGATATTCAGTGAGTTTATCGAACCAAAGTGCATAAGAAATGGGTTAAGCAGTTACAGGTGTTACTGTCACCATACAATCTCCAACAATTAGAAAAACTTGTACCGTGTAAATAATTTCAGAGATCTTACAACTAAGTTTTGTTGTCTCACCTTGACTTTGGTGAATTGTTTATATCTGTTGATGTAAATATAAAAAAGAAGATGTGGTATGATTGCCAATGAGACAACTCTCCACAAGAGACCAAATGACACAGAAATTAACAGCTATAGGTCACAGTACGGCCTTCAACAATGAGCAAAGCACATACCGCACAGTGAGCTATAAAAGGCCCCGAAATGACAATGTAAAACAATTCAAACAAGAAAACTAACGGCCTAATTTATGTACAAAAAATGAACGAATAACAAATATGCAACACATAAACGACAACCACTGAATTACAGGCTCCTGACTTGGGACAGGCACATACATGTACATACAGAATGTGGCAGGGTTAAACATGTTCGCGGGATCCCAACCCACCCCCTAACCTGGGACAGTGGTGTAACAGTACAATATAAGAGCGAACTATAAAAATCAGTTGAAAGAGGCTTAACTCATCAGATGGATAAATACAAATACAAGTGGACGTGGCCGGGTAGTTGTACATCCAAACAACAAAAAGACACTAAGTACAGATCTGAGAGTACTCGCATTTACTGACAGCTAGTTCAAAGCCACAAACAACTGATAAAAAAATCTTGCATCTAAGACTAAATTATCAATCTGTAAGCTCCCTTTAGAATTTTATAAATTTTAGATTTTACATTATTGAGTTATGGGGTTTTATTCATTAAAAAGGGGGGGGATTTTCCAGTTTTTGGACAACTCAAAAATGCTTTAAGCAGTTCGCATGAAACTTTGGTGAATTATTTATAGCTATTGATGTAATCTCCCTATTGATTTTCATAAATTTCAAATATGACATTGAGAAGAAATTGAACTTTATTTGTTTATAGTCTGGCAACAGATTTATTAAGTATTGCGCAACAGCACAGTGTATTGCACAACAGCAAGAAATCTTTAACTGAATATAAATTCAATTCATATAACCGATTACAAGTTCTTTGACTACATTTATTCAGAAACTATAATATGTCAAATATTTAATTACAATCCAAATTCAGACCTGTATCAAGCTTGAATATTGTGTCCATTTTTGCCTCAACTGTTCAGGGTTGGACCTCTGTGGGTGTATCCAGCTGCGCTCAGCGAATCAGTTTATTACTTAATTAAGAACTCCTTTTTGTCGAGCCTGCGACTTTTGTCGCAGAAAGCTCGACATAGGGATAGTGATCCGGCGGCGGCGTTAGCTAACTTCTTAAAAGCTTTATATTTTAGAAGGTGGAAGGTCTGGATGCTTCATACTTTGTATATGGATGCCTCATGTTACGAAGTTTCCGTCAGTCACATGTCCAATGTCCTTGACCTCATTTTCATGGTTCAGTGACTACTTGAAAAAAAAGTTAAGATTTTTTGTAATGTTGATTTCTCTCTTATTATAAGTAATAGGATAACTATATTTGGTATGTGCATACCTTGCAAGGTCCTCATGCCCGTCAGACAGTTTTCACTTGACCTCGACCTCATTTCATGGATCAGTGAACAAGGTTAAGTTTTGGTGGTCAAGTCCATATCTCAGATACTATAAGCAATAGGTCTAGTATATTCGGTGTATGGAAGGACTGTAAGGTGTACATGTCCAACTGGCAGGTGTCATCTGATCTTGACCTCATTTTCATGGTTCAGTGGTTATAGTTAAGTTTTTGTGTTTTGGTCTGTTTTTCTTATACTGTATGCAATAGGTCTACTATATTTGGTGTATGGAATGATTGTAAGGTGTACATGTCTAGCTGGCAGGTGTCATCTGACCTTGACCTCATTTTCACGGTTCAGTGGTCAAAGTTAAGTTTTTGAGTTTTGTCTTTTTTTCTAATACTATATGCAATAGTTCAACTATATTTGGTGTATGGAAATATTTTATGATCTATATGTCAGTCACGCAGGTTTTTTTTTTACCTTGACCTCATTTTCAAGGTTCATTGCTCAGTTTTAAGTTTTTGTGTTTTGGTCTGTTTTTCTTAAACTATAAGCAATAGGTCAACTATATTTGTTGTATGGAAGAATTGTTAGCTGTACATGCCTGCCTAGCATGGTTCATCTGACCTTGACCTCATTTTCTTGGTTCATTGGTCAATGTTTAGTTTACTTGGTTAATGTTAAGTTTATGTGACAGTTGTAATAAAGCTTTATATTTAGGACTATCAACATAATATCAATGATTAGTAAAGAAGGCGAGACATTTCAGCGTGTGCACTCTTGTTTCATTCATAAATTACTTTATACTTGGAAATATAATTTTGCTTGGAGTTATAGTTTCTAAAAAAAGTATTGTCATTGAAAGAGTTGACATGTTGCAATGTACATTTATTCTACATAGTTCTATGGTACCAAATCAAAAGTTTATATTAAAGAAAGAAGTCAAAGGTTTCCCATCATAGTTTAGTTACATACATTTTTTTTGTACCTGAGGTCGTTGAATATAGATCATTATATAAATAAGGAGATGTGTCATGATTGCCAATGAAACAACTATCATCCATACATTGTACTTACCAGTAACAAACCACATTTGCAAAGTTGAATAAAATACAGTTGATAACATTTACTTATTACTTAAAAGAAAATGCCAAACTATTTTAAACAGTATTTGACTATAAACATAGATAAAAAAGGTACTAACTGGACATAATGCACTAGTTCATAAACAAGTGAGAACAATCGCCTTCATATAGTGCTCAGAATATGACATTCATAAAACTTGTTCAATATCATTAGAGAACTCTAAATCTTAAATACTGAAAGCCACCTCTGATAAGTACAATGTACTATGCAAGATAATGATATAACTGGACTAAAAATACACACAACCTGTAATTAACTGCCTTTACAGCGCTTTCGCGCTTTGATTTATAATGATGTCATAGTGATTGGTTTTATCAGTCTTTATATTCATACATAAAAGAAATTTGGAGGTCAGACGTAAGAATTAAACTGTTTTTTATCCTTTTTTTTTATTATGTTTGCTGTAGACATCTTTGATCATTTTGAATTATAGTATTTTATGATATTAAAAAAATAATTATGATTTCTTTTAGGTAAAAGAATTACCAGAAGATGAGAGATTCTCATTTGATTATCAAGTAAGTTTAATCTGCATATTGCATATATTCATGTACCATAGCCGCGGAACAGTGGTGGACAATTGCAAGTCGGTGCAAGAAATTAAAAAATCGGAATGGTGTAGCGCAATTGCAAGTCGGTACAAGCAATTGAAAAGCCTGAACAGCGAAGCTCAATTGCAAATCGGTGCAAAAAATGTGAATACAAGATAATATAAAATCTAATAAAATACACTTATTTCTAGAAAATCTACCTCTGACAATGTTTTGCTTGCGTTGTCAAAACAAAACATTTACAATCACAATAATAATTCAGGTTTCGGAAGTTTTTATAGTGATGGGGAAATGGACTAGAACATCTTTTTATAGTATATTTCCCATGATATTCCTTTTGTATTATCCATAGAATTTGACATACATCAAAATACAGTACATATGGAGCGTATAAGTCATAATGTATGTTAACTAATTTTGACACGCTTTCATTTTTATCAAATAAACACGGATTTATGAATTATTAACGAAAAGAAGCAGTAGATAAGGCTGACTAGTCAAACATCAAAAGCATATATTAATGTTCACACACTTTTAAAAGTACTTTTCTTTTCTCAAAGATTGTATTTGATTATTTACAATTGAAATAATAAAACTTTAAAAAATACATAAAATTAAAACCGGTTTTATACTTAACAAGGAAATATCATTCAATTCAAGCATATAACAAAATATATACGTTTTAATAATCTCGTTTTAGTATAAATATGTATATTTGTTGCCATTTTAAATCTGATGAGTAAAAGATAAGGGCCCTAATTTTCCAAAGTGTCTCAGAACTAAAATATATTCTAAGATGGTCTCAAGACATAAGAGATATGTTTTTGAAAGTGGCTTAATTTCAGTTAAATCCTAGAAATAATCAAAAAGTTATGACATCAGAATACATGTCTAAAGTTGGTTTCATGCTTATAGGTATTATTTGACTATTCATTGTATCGAAAATAAGAATTTTATAACTGCCAACGGCAATTTAAGAAATATACATTGTCCGTTAAATGTAGTTCCATGAAATTATCGTGTGATGCGCACATGTCCTAACATAATGTAATGACCATAGTGTTTATTAAGTAAGTAAGGCCGTACGGTTGCTTAAAATTGCTTACATTGACTTCATTTGAACTTTGGTCGTTAGTTGTCACATCTCCTTATAAGATATTGCACATAAATCAAATCGTTTCAATAAAGGAATTCTATCTTAGAAAATACGATAAATCATGAAATCTTATTCACAACAATTTGTACAACTCGTTTACTTACACATGCGCACAGATAGCTTTATAGAGTACAATTAGCCAAGATAGAGCCAGACTTCATACAGGGAATAACATAACTAATCTTTTAGGTCAACGTAAAATATGAACCAAGAAACCCTGATGATTTCAACTTACATTGATTTTTGGACAACCTAAATGGAATGAAATAAATAATAAAGACTTCAGGAACAACATTACAAGCGACGTACATGTGCCTTTGCTTTTTGTGGGTTTTTTTTTTTTTTTTGCTTTGCAAGTACTGATTTTGTGTCATGGATGGATATCCCATATCCTTTCTTTTCTATTGTAAGTTGCTTGAATAATGTTAAAACTTTTTTTTTCATGTAAAGTTCAGCATGGGTCTGAAAGGCAAAATTTACCGAGAAGAAAGTCAGAGATTGGTGATGGCCAGCGGCCGCGAGTGGAAGGATGTCGAAGACGTGAAGTCTGTGTATACTACAGTGTTTGGAGTCCCACAGGTAATTGCTACTAATAGTTGTAATATTTCGTGCTGCTTTCGCTTTGTATACAACAACGTGTTGACATTCTGGATATATTTATATTTAACGCATAATACACATTTCCCCCCTCACCACGTAAATCCACATGTATCTTATCATATGTACAACTACTATGTCGGATATGCAGTGTAAAAATTCATATAGAAAAAAAAAAACAGTCAGCAGAACTTTTTCTCATTCTAATGCATGATAAAAAGAACTAATTAGAGCATTGGAAAATGTTGAAAATTAAAATAAAATAAAATTTCGAAATTTCATGATTGATCTTGACGCGTTGACGTCATGTCAAAACATGACATCATTCGAATGAAAACTCTCCAGCTGATGGTTATTCCTTTTCTTGTAGGCTTCAGTTTGAGATACTTTCTCTTCAAAATTGATTTTTTGAGAATAGAGTTGGTTCATTTCCAATTCTATTGAATTAATCGCACATTTATAGATTTCAGCAAGTTAATATAGCGGCTCACTCCCAGATACCACATGTTAATTTAAGATTTGACGGTAAATAGAAGCCTATAAAAGAAATTGTTAAATAATAAATGCACATTTTTGGGTTGAAAATTTCAAGAATTGAACACATTTTTCAATGGTTTTTGACGCGATGTATTATGGTATACCGTTGTCCGTCCGTCTGTCCTTCTGTCTGTCTGTCCGTCAGTCGTCAACACTTCGGACAATAACTAAAAAACTCTTTCATCAATTTTCATGAAACTTTGGTGAATTGTTTATATCAACTGACGTAAGCTCCCTTTCGATTTTTATGAATTTTAGATTTTACGTTTCCTGAATTTTATGCATAAAAAAAAAAGATTTTCCAGTTTTCAGACTATAAATCAAAAATTCTTTGAGCAATTTTTATGAAACTTATATATATTGACATAAGTTCCCTTTCGATTTTTGAAAATTTCTCATTTTACGTTTTGGAGTATTGGGACTTTTTTCATAACTGGAGGCTCTCAAGAGCCTGTGTCGCTCACCTGTATTTACTGATGCTTTGGAAATCATGTAAAATAAGGTTAAAATTATAATTAATAGTATTAGATATTAGATATTATAATGATATCTAAGATGATAACAAAAAACTGCAAAATTTTTGTAAAATTACTAACTCAAGGGCAGCAACCCAACAACGGGTTGTCGGATTCGTCTGAAAATTTCAGGGCAGATAAATCTAAATCTGATGAACATTTTTGCCACCTGTCAGATTTGCTCTAAATGCTTTAGTTTCAGAGATATAAACCAAAAACTGCATTTTACCCCTATGTTCTATTTTTAACCAAGTCGGCCATGATGGTTTGAAGGCGGGGTCATCGGACAAATTTTCAAAACTAGATACCCTTATAATGATTATGGCCAAGTATGGTTAAATTTATCTCAGTAGTTTCAGAGAAGAAGATTTTTGTAAAAGATTGCAAAAATTTACAAAAAATTGTTAGAAATTGACTATTAAGGGCAATAACTCCTAAAGGGGTCGAATGACAATTTTGTTTATGACAACTTATTTGTAGATCTTACTTTGCTGTACATTATTACTGTTTACAGTTTATCTCTATCTATAATAATATTCAAGATAATAACCAAAAACTGCAAAATTTCCTTAAAATTATCAATTCAGGGGCAGCAACCCAACAACAGGTTGTCAGATTTGTCTGAAAATTTCAGGGCAGATAGATCTTGACCTGATAATCAGTTTTACTCATTTTAGATTTACTCTAAATGGTTTGGTTTCAGAGATATAAGCCAAAATCTACGTTTTACCCGTATGTTCTATTTTTAGCCATGGCGGCCATCTTGGTTGGTTGGCGGGGGTCATCGGACACAGTTTTTAAACTAGATACCCTAATGATGATTGTGGCCAAGTTTGGTTAAATTTTGCCCAGTGGTTTCAGAGGGGAAGATTTTTTTAAAAAGCTAACGACGACGGACGACGGACGCCAAGTGATGAAAAAAGCTCACCTCAATTGAGGTGAGCTAAAAAATGGGAATTTTCCAGTTTTCGGACAATAACTCATGAACGCTTTGAGCAGTTTCCATGAAATTTTGGTGACTTGTTTATATCTATTGAAATAAGCTCCCTTTTGTTTTTTTACAAATTTCTTATATGATATTGCGGAGTTATGGAACTTTATTTGTTGAAACATTGTCGATTACTGTCAATTTTTCTGACTTCGGATAGAACTTTATACGTTCAAAAATTCAAAAATAGAGGCCACATACTTAGTTAAACTTGAATTAGCCTAAATAGTGCCAAATTATTCATGTTTTGTGTCAATGGGTACCACTGTGTGTGCATGTCTTTTTTTTTTTTGGGGGGGGGGGGGGGGGAGGGGAGTCTATTTGAGCAGCGCTCACAGTATTTCTAGTCATATAAATTCATTAAAGACATAAAGACAAGCAAAAAGGGGACGGGCGTATCATGCGCTTATGGCGCAGCACTTTATTTAAGTTTAAGAACAATTCATGAAAGCTATACATTTGTTAGAAATTTGAAGATTTATCTTGCAGGGAGTAAAATAGAAAGCCACCATTTGAAAATTTCCATCAAATATGGCTTGCAATAATTATTTTTAAACATGTTAAATTAAACATGTAAATGAAAATATCATATCGTGAAAACATGATAACAGTGCGTATGAAACGGGATTCTGGAAAAAACATATTTATTAAGGTAATAATTAATATCAAATAACTCATTCTATAGAATATGTTAATACACAAAGGTTGTAATTGATAAAAGTGATATGCGTGTATAAAAGATACACACATAAAATATAGAAATTAATTTTATACATACACATTACACGTGCACAATTTTGGTTCAGATTTAATTTTTAATTTTTGTTTTAATTTTGAAGTCAATTGTGTTGTATGTTTCATGTATGTTTACACATAATTGGCTGCTGGATTTCAAGTATTTTCACATTAACCAGTTTTTTTCTGCATGGGTTGTCCTCCCAAATTTGTTAATATAACGGAACTATAAACAACTGGCCTACCATGGGAGGTTTGGCTAGCGATAAAAAAACCATCATTTACTTCAGAAAATGCCTGTACCCAGTCCATAATAATTATTTTGTCAGGTTTTATGGTCTTGCCCCTTTTGAATTTACATTGAAGTTTGGAGTTCGGTATTTTTGTTAATACTTTTTTTCTTGAAATTCATGACCCACACAAAGTTTTTGCAGTGTGACAACCCTCCTCCCCTCCCCGAGTTGACTTTGTTCTTTGGTGTGACTGTAAGAACATCACAATATATATTGGGGATGAAAAAAATAAAACGTACTAACCAAATTGTAATTACAACATAATAGCTACATCAAAGAAATACACAGTAAGAATAAACTATATTGCCATAGTAATTGTTTTGTAAACAGGGTTCAAAAACCTTCAACGATGATGCTAGCTTTGGACGTCGGAGGTTGAACGGTTTAAATCCTTCAATATTGAATCTCTGTTCCGAAATTCCTAAAAAGTAAGTGTTTAGTATATCAAATAATTAATTAATATTAAGCATACGCTATGAAACATTAAAAGTCAATATGAGTGAAATTGAATTTTATGTATTGATGTGTGAACTTGGTAGACTGAATCACAAAAAAAAGTTTGTAAATGAAATTTTGCACTTGCAAATCAGCAAGCTCCGTCAGAAAACCTTTACTTATAATTTAAATAAAATCCACTAAAAATATGTTTGGATCATTTTCATTTACACTTACTTATATGAATTCATACCAATGCGTTTATAAAATGGGCTTTACATTAGGTAACAGTAGTTTACCAATGTCATAAATCGATAACTAGTACTGAGACGAATCAAGGTAACAAACAAAAACTCAGAAAGGAGCCATGCTGTGTGCGTCAGCTGGGTAAGAATCTCCTGTTATGTATCCATTATCGTCATTCGAATCCATATCCATTCCGAATGTCAGAATCGAAATTAGAACACAATCAATCAGTCAAATTAGAGATGAGACGACTATTATGGTTCCTTAAAATCAAAGACTACGAAAACCTATCACTAGTTAATACAGACAAAGACATATCATATCGGTCAATCACTTCGTGATGGTGACAATTAAACGTATGTGTTGTCGATTTCAGTCGTTTTTCCTTTATCACTCTGTTGGAGCAGGTTTTTTTTTGAGAATATATATCTGAAAGTGATATATGTATATATATATATATATATTTGAGAAGGTTATTTGAACGAAATCTTCGTCATATAAGTACCAATAAGAACATGTCGTCCAGTAGAGGTGCATAACTAGTACCTATTGCACTACCAACTATCTGTTGGAATGCATAACCCATATATGTCATCGATATCGGGAAAATAGCATTGTCAAATTCCAACTACTCTTTTATTTATTCTAATTTATTTATTACCTGTCATAATCAACTCATTTGTGTATTTAAACATGAACGCAAATATGTTCCGATTAACCAATAATATTACTTACTCAGTTAATGTAATTTTTTATCGCAGAATAATTTCATTTTATCTTTGTACTTCATAGTTTTGGAGTGACTGAAATAATGGTCAAACCGTTCCTAGAAGGCAAGACAATGAAACAAGCCATGGACGATAAAAGGCTGTTTATTATAGACTTGGCGATATTGGAAGGATGTCCAACTGTTGGGGAAACCATTGTAAGAAGTAGTTATAAATCTTTATTGTGTTGCATTTATAGCAGTGGATACAAAGTTATCATTAGTATCTGTTGGCAATATTTTAAGTATAATTAATTCCATGCAACACTCTAACATATTTTGTTACACCAGATTTAACGCATTGCAAAGTATTCCAAAATTCAAGCTTTAACCGTACGCTAAAATGGATGCAATATCTAAATTAGAAAAATGACTAATTTTATACCTAGTTTTCAATTTTGCGTGCTTCTTAAACTTGTATAATTTGTAGTTGTCATTTGTACGTTGGTCTTTTTTTTTGGTTATGGAGGTGTCATTGTTTCATAGTATTATTTTTTTTTTATAAAAAGGACTTCACCATGACAGAAGTTTCTGTAACTTATATGTCTAATTTGTACAAGAATTTTATCTTTCGTCTTGGTGGTTTTATATGATAATGCAATAGGCAAAATATAACTTATACAATATAAGATTTTCCATAAAAAATTATACTACGAAAACATTTCGCAAACTTTAACTCCACATTAAAACGTCGAAAATAATATTATCAATAAAACACCTTCAATGTGTTCGACACCTTATAGATTCATGCATAATAATCACGCATATAAACCATTGATATTTTATATTGTCAAAGGCAGAAGTATCTCGCGTTTTTCCAAAATATGTTACTTTGGAACATAAAAGGTTTATTTGTTAAAATGAAAATGCCGGGATATGAGAGTCCAGTGTGTGAGAGAAACTGGACTTGCATTGCATAAATATACATAAGAACATCGGCAACGTTTTCGAAGCCATTAAATGATCAATAGCTTAGGTTTAACAACAGGTAAATATATATATATATAAATATTTAATGAAAGTTAAGCCTTTGATCATTGAACATAAGACCAAAAATAATACACAGCATTTTCCCCGCGGCTGAATTATTTACTTCTGTAAGTTTTATCCATCTTTAAAACATCTTCAAAAACAAGTCGATGATCTCTTATGAAAATGTAACAATGTAGAATAAAGAGATGCGGGATTATTTTTAAACAATAAGGCAACTATCTACAAGAAATCAAATGGCGTGAATATAAGCAATTATAGGTCACCGTACGGCCTTCAAAAACGAGAATAATCCATACCTTATAGTCAGCTATAACAGGCCCCGACTTGTAACGATGTATGTTGTGTCAGACCGTTTACGAATTCAAATTATGAAAGACGTGGACTTCATTTTATCAACTATAACGATTGCTTAATAAAATCAAAGAATGCTAACAAAAGTGCAAATTCGTGCGAGATAAAAGTTAACATGGGATGACTAGTATTGCTTTCGTTTATTAAAATAAAACGCCATCAAAACTGTCAAGGATAAACACTAACTGCATCAGGGATTTGGCTTATCTAAACTTTCCACAGTATTTTTCACAGGCCGTATATGAATAAAACCACGTTTAGCATATGCCATAAGAATCAAAACTAATGTAGATGAATATTTACTGGATGTTTTGGCGTCATTTATGGAGTCGAACATTTTAGTTCAATCGGTGTTAAAGCGTTTTCATCTACGGTCTTATCTTCAGTAAAAGTTGTAGATATTAAAATACTCGAAGTTTTATGTAATTGAGTATATTACGAACATTCAACCGCGAAAGTGTTGTTTGCTGTTTAGTCGAAAGGTCCCCAAAAAACACTTTCCCAGAGTATTTAATCTAGACTTTTTTCGTCTAAATACCGTTGTTACCGAACGATTTTATAGTAACTTTCGAAATGTTAAATACGAGTAGCCATAAGATATTTTTTTAAAGAAAGGACCGAATGATTTTGTTTTCAGTTTAATCTCTTCTTCACCAAGATTTTCATTAGGAAAAAGAGTACAGCTGATTTTTATTCAAGAGTTAAAGATTTTCCTCAATATTGACACAGATGGACGACTTCACACTAAAATCTATGACAAACGGGACGATTTCAACTTCCCAATTATCAATTTCCCATTTCTCATAAGTAATATACCCTCTGCCCCCTCGTATGGTGTTTACATATCTCAGTTGATATGTTATGCTCGTGTATGTCACACTATACGGACTTCATATACAGGTGTGTGCTCCTTACGCAGAAACTGCTCCAACAAAGTAAAGAGGAGGAAAGATTAAAAATGACACTCCGTAAATTTTATGGACAACATCACGAATTGGTTGATCCATACGATGTGTCTGTGTCTAAACTAACTAAGGACATGTTTTCCAAGTCTTAGATTATGGTTTACCATTTACGTCGTCTGGTCTTACAAGTACCGAACGTGACCTATCCCCGAATGTGACTGTTTTACTGAGTGTTAATTCACATTGCTATGAGACGTGTCTCGGTATTTGTGTATCCAGCGTTCGTGTATTAAGTTACGAAATTTTATTTGTAATTCTGATCGGATATTGTCTTTGTGTCGTTTATAGTTGTAATTCTATCTTCTATTTTCTATTCGTATGTAAAAGAAAGATAATTAATCACCTAGTTCATTTGTATGAGTTTAGTTTAAAGCAACTATGTGTGTTTTGGAAGAAATGCCGACATAGTTAGTTGCACTATTACTAACACAATTCTATATTAATATTCTTGAAATTGTTATAAAATACAACAAATAACATAATTAGAAACCTAATCTTGATTTATATCCAATTTTTAGAAATTTACCTGTGACGTTACTTTTTGTGGCGTTGATCCATTCGTGTTACAGACACACACTTCGTAATTTTATTAAGCTGTTTTTGTGTACTGTCCTAAATTATTTTAGTTATTCGTTGTTATTCTGTGGTTAACATGTCGAAATGTACTGTTATATTATTTATTTATATATTTCTCTGTCTTTGGTATTTTTGCATTTATTTGTACTCTGTACCCGTCATGTAATGTTGTCATTTTAGAGGCATATTTAACATTGCCATAAAGCGCGGAGGTTTGGATAGTCACAAAACCAGGTTCAACCCACCATTTTTTTCTTAAAATGTCCTCTACCAAGTCAGGAATATGGCAGTTGTTATTCAATAGTTCGTTTCTATGAATGTTGCATTGTTGTTTGTTTTTTTTTTGTTGCACTTCTGTGTTCTGTTATTTCGTTGTTTTCCTCTTATAGTTGATGTGTCTCTCTCGGTTTTAGTTTGTAACCTGGATTTGTTTTATCTCAATCTAGTTTATGACTTTTGAACAGCGGTATACTACTGTTGCCTCTATTTAGCAGATGAATAATATTTCGGTCCCATCCTTAAAAAAATGATAACCTCTCGGTGTTGAATGATGTTAAGGTATCCCGTAAAAACATAGCCCTAAAAATCAAATATTCACCACAAAGTGTCATTCTCAAGAAGAAGGAGTGTTGTTTAATATAATGTATATCATTATATAAATAACACTTAGCTGAGAGGGTGAAAGAGCAGAGTGTTACCCCCGAGAAAACATTGTCAACCGAGGCTAAGCCAAGGTTGACAATGTTTTTTCGAAGAGTAACAATTTGCTCTATAACCCTCTCAGCCATGTGTTACTTAATTTATTATTTTGAATGTTCTGTTATAACTATCACGTCTTTTACATACCAACCATCCGTATTTAATAAAGCGCACAATTGAACAAGCGTCTCCGTGAAGGGTAATAGAGTATTTGCCATGAGATAGAGTAAATTATCTCCCTTGTATTTACCAATCAAAATCTGGCATTTTGACATGAAGCATAATAATAAAGACTATAGAAGGGGGTATAATAAAAAGATATACCACAAACTTTCATCTAAGACAGATTGTTCAAAACAATTTCTTCAGAGAAAATGTAAAATGCAATAAACTAAATGAAAAAATTTCCAGATCAGTTTTCTTTAAAAATCAATGATATATGTAAAACCTTATTATACAATTCTCATTCATCATTCATGCAAGGAGCAATATTTTTTCAGTCCTGAATTTGCACTTTTGTAAGTGTTCTGTGACTTTAATAAGCAATCGCTAGAATTGCAAAACTGAATTTCACTTGACGTATTTTCCGTAATTCCCTTTTTCGTCTGTATGAACGAAATCACCCAACTAAACTGAATTAAGCTGCGGATTGTTTCAAGGTTTTGTTTTAGTTATTTGGTACAATATGTGTAGGTTTTCATTTTAGGCAGATCTAGACATAATGTGGTATAGACAACTTGGAAGCATACGAAATATATAATTTGAACTTCACTTGTGGCTTAGTTATTCATACACGTGACTTCGATGTCGTGTATGTTTAACAGAATTACTTTCATTTAGTATGCAACGTCTTTTTTTTTGTTTTAACACAGCTAGAAGTCAATCGAACCTGAAATTGTATGTTAAGGATATTGTGTTATCTATGTAACAACCACTTGACCTACACTTCAAAACTCATCACATATATCAAGCTTATGATTTTGTACGCCATACTCGCGTTTCGTCTATATAAGTCTCATCAGTGACGATCGAATATAAAAAAAGTCCAAATCAATCCAGTCTTCTTGGCATCATGCATAACATCCCTAAATGCAGCTTCTGACTTGCCTATAGTAACAAGATGGGTGCCAATAGTTGAAAAGAAACTTTTTTGGGGGGTCGTATTTGCTGAATATTTTTTTCAGTGTAGGGCAAGTGATTATTGTATATCTGTTTGTATTTTCTCATTTAGTCATAATATCGGCTTTCTTTCCTTAAACTATGATTTTAGATGCCATTTGATATATAATCTCGTTTTTCTTTAATCAATCGCGAGTGATTGTTGACCAAGGTTTAGGCAACAAATCTATATTTTGAACAAAATTTACAACAACTTGTAATTAGTTTCAATGTTTTTTTAACATTTATTGCATTTGACAAAAAGATTGATGTACTAGACAAAATCAGTAAGACATTGCAGGTAAATGTTTGAAGTTCTAAATGTTATTCTATACAAATGCATTCATTTTTCGAAAAATACACTTCTGCATTTTCATTATCCCTATACTTATACTTTACAAAAGAATAGCGCCAATTTCTCTTAAAAATATACTTGATCAATTTATAAGTTAATTTAAGTTAATATGATCAACATTAGTTCTTAAGCCAATAGTGTGAACATCAGCTGTATATTGGGATTTTTCCTGTAATTCAACATTGACTATGAAAAAAGTAAAATAACAAAGATACCGAACTTCAAGAAAAATTCAAAACGGAAAGTCCTTTATAAAATGGCAAATTCAAGCTCAAACACATAAAACGAATGGAAAACAACATTCATATTCCTGATTTGGTACAGCCATTTCCTAATAGAAAATGGTGAATTAAACCTGGTTTTATAGCTAGCTAATTGTTATCAAAGGTACCGGGCTTATAATTTAATACGCCAGACGCGCGTTTCGTCTACATAAGACTCATCAGTGACGCTCAGATCAAAATAGTTATAAAGCCAAACAAGTACATAGTTGAAGAGCATTGAGGACTTAAAATTCCAAAAAGTTGTGCCAAATACGACTTAGGTAATCTATGCCTGGGATAAGAAAACCCTTAGTATTTTGGAAAAATTCATACTTTTGTAAAAAGGAAATTTATAAAAATGACCATATAATTGATATTCATGTCAACACCAAAGTGCTGACTACTGGGCTGGTGATATCCTCGGGGACGAAACGTCCACCAGCAGTGGCATCAACCCAGTGGTGTAAATAGTTATCAAAGGTATCAGGCTTGTAATTTAATACGACAGACGAGCGTTTCGTCTACATAAGACTCATCAGTGACGCTCAGATCAAAAAAGTTATAAAGCCAAACAAGTACAAAGTTGAAGAGCATTGAGGACTTAAAATTCCAAAAAGTTGTGCCAAATACGACTTAGGTAATCTATTCCTGGGATAAGAAAATCCTTAGTATTTTGGAAAAATTCATACTTTTGTAAAAAGGAAATTTATAAAAATGACCATATAATTGATATTCATGTCAACACCAAAGTGCTGACTACTGGGCTGGTGATATCCTCGGGGACGAAACGTCCACCAGCAGTGGCATCAACCCAGTGGTGTAAATAGTTATCAAAGGTATCAGGCTTGTAATTTAATACGACAGACGAGCGTTTCGTCTACATAAGACTCATCAGTGACGCTCAGATCAAAAAAGTTATAAAGCCAAACAAGTACAAAGTTGAAGAGCATTCAGGACCTAAAATTCCAAAAGTTGTGTCAAATACGACTAAGGTAATCTATGCCTGGGATAAGAAAATCCTTAGTATTTTGAAAAAATTCATACTTTTGTAAACATGAAATTTATAAAAATGACCATATAATTGATATTCATGTCAACACCAAAGTGCTGACTACTGAGCTGGTAATACCATCGGGGACGAAACGTCCACCAGCAGTGGCATCGACCCAGTGGTGTAAATAGTTATCAAAGGTACCAGGCTTATAATTTAATACGCCAGACGCGCTTGTATGACAGTCGTATAGAATTCCATTATATTGACAACAATGTGTAAGCAAACCAAACAGACATAATAGGTAAAAATGTCAAAAATTGGGGTACAGCAGTCAACATTGTGTTATAATCTTAATCACTATAAAAATAAATAACCATTTCAACAACAAAAAATTTAATGGCATAAAGACACTCTATAGATAAAGTACAAAAGCAAAAATGAAAGACAAGAATACAAAATTGACCATAGCACAATAGCACAATGGCGGGATGTATAAATACCGAGCCACGCTAAAATTATATTACCAAAAATGGACTAAACAGTAAAGGTTAAAATGGTACAAGGACAAATAAAAAGAAAACTATAACACGTTATAAAGATGATAAACAACGTCAGTACCTAGAATCTATACTTCAAGACCATCAAGTATTATTTGTGAAGTTGATACGAAATATTTATCAAAAAAGTCTTGGTATCTTCCGATGCACTTTTTTAGAAAAAGGACGAGACGTTCTTTGGCATAACCCTGGTTCATCAATTTTCTGCTCAGACAGTGGTGACGTTTTATAAAATCTGAGAAGCAGCTGCAAGCTCTTGAATACCGAATGAGTTCGGAAATGTATATCCCATATGCAGGTGAAGTTTGTATATTGCTGCTAAGGTGGGGGAAATTTATAATTTCAAAATTAAAATCGTCTCGTTTGTCATAGATTTTGGTAGTGAGATGGCCGCTTATGTCAAATTCGAAGTATAAGTCTAAAAATGAGGCGGAGGAAGCCGTGTCTGTTGTTTCAGTTTCTACTTCTGAAGGATATATTAATGGAACACAATCAGAAAAGTTTCGAATGTTAATGGAAAGAACATCATAAATGTATATGAAACTACTGGTACAAGTATTCATTATAATCAATTTATGAAATCAGCCAAGGTTCCCTGTACATACAATACTTTCATAAAAAATTCTTTTAAAAGTTGGAAAATAAGTACGAAGTCGGTTATCAAAAATCTGAAGTAGCCGAGGACAAATATATCCCAAAATATTGAACACGATTACAGATTTGACTGTTATTTCTTGCAGATGACATGTCCATTTGCTTTATTTTATTTTAACGATGCCAAATGTCTTATGCCAATAGCAATACAGCTATTTCAGAAGAAAGGACCAAGTAATCCGGTAAGTGCGGGATACCTTATCTATAACTTACATTTCTGTCAGATTATTCTCCCAGTTTACAAACGAATAAACGGGACTATGAAATCAAAAGCATATTTGCAAGACTAAATATTTCAAAAATATTTCAGTAATGGTATACGCTGATCATTCAGCATTCTACTGACTTGTTAATTTCAATTATCATTAATCTCTCGGACTTCATGTCGTGTATTTGCATGTATAGGATGTTTCTCCAGATGAGATAATAATGGTAAAGCTCAGTAGTTATGACTCGGTACTGTCCTGATTTATAACAATTTTATTTCTAAAAATCTCATTATTGAATTAAGAAAGTAATAGGATATTAAGGTTCCAACTCCTTCAGGTAATGTTGACCTTAGATGAATTTGGCTTTTTCTCTGAAAAAAAACTCGTCATAAATTTATATATCATTCTGTGGCCTATTGATTTGTGGACTAATATAGCTTCTTACGTTTTTACGTTATTTATACAACCATGGCTTTGAGCATTCCTTATTTAGGTAAATGCAGGTAAGTTTACAAAACAAAACAGTCGGGTTAAAATCCAAAGCTTAGCCATGTTTTCTAAATGAATAACTCATTATAGATACAAAGCTTTAAATTTTGTACGCCAGACTCGCGTTTCGTCTACAAAAGACTCATCAGTGATGTTCGAATCAAACAATTTAAAAAGGCCAGTTAATTTATAATTTTGACCATATAAATGATAAAAGGGCAAATTTAAAATAGTTTTAAGATAATTCACGGTAAAAAGAGTTCCTCTTTTTATGATCCGAAATGTACGACGGTTATCTAGCCCTACACTTAGTTTACATCTCACTATATCGAAATTTTCCAACAGGCCTGAATTAACACACCAGTCAACAATAGATATAAGAAGATGTGGTATGAGTGCCAATGAGACAACTCTCGCTGTAACAAACAAATTATTAAATGTTTTGATGAAAACATGATAGTTGTTTTGAATTATTTTTGATTATAACAATTTCATGTCTATGTTTTAAGTTGATCAAATGATGTAACAGTTCCAGGGGATCGTTGTTTATTATATATTATATCATTATTTTATATTTTACAAACAGGTTTTCTTACCGTCAGATCCAGAGTACACCTGGATGATGGCAAAGATGTGGTACAGTGTGGCTGATTCTACATATCACCAAGCTCTGACTCATCTAAGTATAAACATTTTTTTTTCATTTTGACATCTATTTATACAGTATTTAGTCCTAGCTTTGATTGTTTTAGTGAAAAATTGAAATAGGGAAAAAACGTATTTACGTTTTCAACAGTACTTTATCATTTTTTTTTTTTTTTTTGAAAGATTCATTTTTTGTTTTGAATTAATGGGAAAATCTCAATACTGTTCCATAAACATACATGAATCCAAAAAATGATGATGAATTACTGTTTAACGTCCATCGGCAAATCAAATACATATTCAGGACGAGAACAAGTTAATGCAATATGAATATGACCCTGTTTTTACTAGACCAACACGATGAGCATGATTTTAATGTGCTAGTACAAAAAGTAACAGACCTCACGAAGATAGGACACCCTACCTTGAACATATTAGTCTGACTCCGAGTTCACCAGTCTTATCGCATACCTAGCGGAGTAGCAGCAAATACTAATTTAAAAATCTTTGGTTTGACTCGGCCGGGGTTGAATTCCACGACTTCCTGCGCTCAACGAGAGCATGCTCCCACGAGAACACACAGGCGGTCTTAGGAAACCAGGGAAGGCAACTTAAAATGCCACTATAAGTGAATGTAACAACACGTTAAAAGTTTATCAGGTCTCTAAAATTGCATCTATGGATGGTTACCATGTATTTAATGTTCCTTCCTTGGATAAATGTATATTTTAATGGAAAATCCATAATAATCAATGCCACAATGAAACATCTTAATGAGAACCAAATAAGTGCTAGTGGGTGAATATGGTTGATAAAAGATTAAAATTCACGGGAACATATAAATTTCAAGACGATAACAGGATTATTTCATATGAATAGAACCCCATTCTACTATTACTATATTTTGACGATCCAGCTATAAAGCGTTCTTCATAAGGATTTTTGTTTAGGTATCCAGAATAAAAACTGGATATTTTCATTGTTCTTTTTTATTTTTACACTAAAGGACAAAATGACGTTTTTGTGATTTTTTTTTAAATTTCCTCTCCGTGAATGACGACGGGACATGTGTGGGATTCCAAGATTAGCTATGAATTCCGATAGCTAATGATTGTTGCATATAAAAATGATGTTAAAAGATGGATTTTTTTCTGCTGGAAAAATAACATATTTGTTGTAAAGCATCAATAACCTCGGGCTTTTTGAAAGGGTTATCAACCTGTGTGCTTATTTTACATCGTAGATTCGGAATGCGCCTCTGAATGCATGACCGAACAGCTATGATCCCTTCAGATTAGGTGTCCAATTTTGGTTCTTCTGGCTTACACTTAACACATTTTATGGTATAGTCCTCAACTGTAACTATCAAAAGCCTGACGTTCTTTTTCTAGTTGATGGTCTGGAGAATCGATAGTTCGGGCCTTTTGCTAACAACTCTCGTAGCTGTTTATTGTTAACGATGGCAATGTCTCCAGTAATAAAATGACAAGCGAGGCTGTAATTGTATGGGGACAAGGAATAAGAGCAATCTTGAGGTTTGAATTTCACATCCTTGAGGATAAAGTTTCCTTATACTCTCGTTTGGTGTAATGTCAACATAAAGGTATATGACAGTTGTGGTTTTAACTTGGTATCTTTTTAGTAATCATAAATTGTTTCCTTCACAGGTTTTTGGTGGAAACCATTTCTAAAATTGATAGCACCCAAACCGGTAATAGCGAATTCTATATTAACAAAATCTACGTTTTTCCTGATCTAAGTAGGTAGTTGCCACGGTATTGAACAAGGACATTTTTTATCCTATATTTATCTTTAAACTTTGTCATAATGTTTTTTTATCTTTTTTTCTCAGATTTTACTCATTTGATGATGGAAGGAATATGTGTCGCAGCTAAGAGAAACCTAGCGCCATCACACCCAATTATGAAATTACTAAATCCACATTTCATATATCTCATGGCAATAAACAGGTATATGTTTTCTTTTAAATTATCATATATTATGTAGTCACACCACGTTTAACTGACAACCAGTAAACTATCATAAGTTTTTTTTAAAATTTAAACAAAAGAAAGCCAATTTTAGCCTGGAAGTCCAAACAAGAACGAATGGGACACCTGATCTGTAACTTGTCAATACGGAATTTCAATACTAAATATCAGCTTAAAATCACGAGCCATACTGTTAAACAATTTTAATAGTTCAGTCTGGTAATATCGGCAAATTTCGATTTAACTTACTAATTTTGGGACAGTCTTGCCTTAATTTAATTCATATACTAGAGTCTATGACATAAGACCCATGCTTAGCTAACTGCAATCCTTATTCTTTAGTTTGGCACTTGGTACGTTGATTAATCCTGGTGGATCCATAGACAAAGATTCAAGTGCAGGCGTCAACGGCCACTTTTACATAATAAAAAAGAGGTGAGAAATTTAGTTATAGGAGATTGTTTTTATTGTTGTGAAAGAAAAACTTTATTTTTTTTGTCTAATTGTCAAGGTACAAGGGTACACACTTTTGCATAATGAAAAAGAGGTGGAGAAAGTTAGTTATAGAAGATTGTTGTGGAAGAATAAAGTTCTTTTTCAACCTTTGAATTTGTCCTTTGGACAGTTTTGCGTGTAATAAATCAAAACCTTTGATACTGTTGAATTTCAAACGAAATATCAATAAAATTTCTTTAGATCATCACGACATTTTAAGTTACTCATAATGAGCAAGTATTTAATTATCATGCATAAGAATACAAAAACACTAGAAAAAAAATAAATAACCTGGTGTTTATCTGGGTGACGACCAAACTCGTTAAGCGAAACTTTTGTTGGCATTTAAATGGATTTTTGGAACTGTTTACTATAATAATAAATACAACTAACTACTATGAACATTAAAAATCTTCACATTTGTTCATTAAATTGTCAAGGGTTAGCAAGGAAAGAAAAACGCTTTAGACTATATACATGGTTTCAACAACAAATGTGTGACATTTTAATGGCACAAGAAACCCATTTCTCAAAAAATATCATAACGAAAATTAATAATGAATTTTATGGAAAACACCACCATAGTCTAGGCAAAACAAACTCAAGGGTGTTTCTTTCTTTATAAACAACACACTTGATTTTAAACTAATAAATGAATTTTGTGACAATGAAGGAAGAATAATTATAGTTAATTTGGAAATTCAAGATAAGATATTTACTTTATTAAACTTGTATGCACCAAATGAAGTTCACGCAAGGAACACATTCTTTAAAAAAGTACATGGGTTGATTGAAGAGCACACTCTTGGTGCATTAATTGTAGGAGGTGATATGAAGGACCTTCTCTCTAGTATAGATACAAAAATTCAAAATCTTCATAAAAAGTTTAAAAAACCAGTAAATAATCTTAAACAGGTAATTAAAACAAATAAACTGATAGACATTTGGAGGCTATTAAATAAAACCAAACAACAATACACTTGGAAAAGGAAAAATTCTATAAATACGGCCAGTAGAATTGACTTTTTTATAATAAGTTCACAAGTACGCATGCTGACGGTATCAGCTGACATCAGACCAGCTCAAATTTCAAGTACGGACCATCAAGTTATTTCTTTAAAATTGGAAATTTATTCAAGTAATCGAGGAAAGGGTTACTTTAAAATGAATAATAGTATATTAACTGACTTTCAATATCAAGACATAATAAATAAATTGATTGATAAGTATGAGAATAAATTTAATAATGAAAATCTTCTTACTCAGTGGGACTTGTTCAAAATTGATACCAGAGACACTACAATTAAATACTGTAAATCTAAAGCCAAAGAAAGGAAAAATAAAATCAATGTTTTGGAAAACAAAATTAAAACTTTAAATGAAAGATTAGATACATTACCTACGGACACAAATAATAATCTTTCTAATGAAATAAAACAATTAGAAAAAGAACTTGATGATATATATTTGTTAAAGGCAAAAGGGGCCCAAATTAGGTCAAGAATAAAATGGGTTGAGGAAGGTGAAAAAAAATACAAAATTCTTTTTATCTTTAGAAAAACACAGGCAATCAAAAAAATTTAATAATAAATTAGTGTCCCAAAATGGGGAGGTAACTGTAGATCAAAGTGAAATTCTAAATATGAGTAAAGAGTATTACAAAGTCCTATACAAAAGCTCTAATCCTGATACTGAAATCTTAAAGACATATATTGAAGGTACAAACATAAATCATTCTTTGACATCTTCTAACACTTAATATAGAAAAACAGTTGGAAAAATCAGAAAAAATAATAAACGATTGGAAAAAAGGAAATTAAGCATGATTGATAAAATCACTATCATCAAAACACTTGTTATACCTAAAATTACATATATTGCATCACTAATAAATCTGTGCAAAGAAACTATATCTAAGTTTAAGAAAATGATATACAATTTTTTATGGGAGGGTGGTAGTGAGAAAGTTAAACGCTCAGTGCTAAGAAAAGATTATTTAGAAGGGGGGTTAAAAATGACGGATATTGATTCTTACATTGAAACAATGAAAATAAATTGGGTTAAAAGACTTACAGATGAAACTTGGGCAAACTGGAAAATTATTCCAACCTCTATTTCAGCGAGTTTAGGGGTAAAAACCTACTATTTAAAATGAACCTGGGTTCTCATAAATCATTAGAAAACATAAAAAACCTGCCCACTTTTTACCTAAAAATCTTAAAATGCTGGATTAAAAATGGTGGCGGGAAGACATAAAAACCTGAAAAATTTAGAGATATAAGGAAACAAGTTATATGGGGAAATCAATATATTAAGAATCAAGGCAAAAGTTTATATTTTAAACATTGGGTAGAAGAAGATATAATTTTATTAACGACATAATTGACGATAAAGGAGAAATTTCTCAAAAATCTTAGATAAACTAAAAAGGAAACAAAATTGGATAGCAGAGACATGTACTTTACGTAAAGCTATACCCAAATCTTGGGAGGACAAATTAATGAGTAAAACATCAATAAATACTAAAATTCATATTCAACAAGATATAAGATGAATTGCCATGGATTGTATTACAATCTGGATAAAATTTCATTCAAAGAAATATATAATATTATAATCAGATCTAATAAAGAGCTTCCAGTAGGATTCTATGTATGGAAAAATCATTTTACTTTTGAAAACATTATTTATTTTATAAAGAAAAACCTATCTTTTACATTCCATTTTTTAAAAGATAATAGAATGAAAATGTTTAGATGGAAATTATTGCATAACATTACAGCAATTAATCAAAATTTGTACCGTTGGAAAATATCTGATAATCCAAACTGTGTGATTTGTTCCAAAAGTGATAACTATAATCATTTTTTCTTTGAATGTAAATGGGTAAAAAACCATTGGTCAATAATTTATGACATATTTATGTATTCTAATATTGATCAACATGTCTTCTGTCTTAAAAATATTGTACTTGGATATAAAATTGAAGATATTGAATATAATCCACTTAATCATGTTATAACAATGATTTGTTTTGTGATTTATAAATGTTTTTATCCATCAGAAAAGAGAACTACATTTGTGAATATGTTGTCAGTTCTAAAAAATGAAATTGAAACACAAATGTTTTATCATCCAGATAGTCTATTTTTGAGAAAATTTCAAAGGAAAATATCAGCAGAACTTTGATTATATTCATTGTTCTATGAGAATTATACCTTAAATAAATACTCAAGTATTTAAACAACAAAGAATCAATAAATCAATATATATATCAATCATGAGGAGTCAATAGCTCCTTCCTTGATCTCTTTTATATACTTCATTTTTTACTTACCTGAAATATTCGATTATTCTAAGTTTAAAAATTTACACATTAGATAATTGACTTGATGATTATAATAAACTACTTACCATTTCATGAAATTATTTGTCTAGCCATGTGGTCAACCATGCTTGTTTGGTAAATTTTACTTTCGGTTAAAAAATTTTTTTTTACTAAAACAAATGACGGACAACAATCCGGGTTTTTTTTTTTTCTTTCTCTTATGATTGTTTATATATAGGATCACTGAATAATGTATATGTATTGTGTGCTCGTATGAATACTTTGTAAAATGCAACTAACACAGAATATAAATATATGATCTATTTAGTTATTCTAAATGCTGGGGATTTTCTTATCCCAGACATATAACCTTAGCCGTATTTGGCACAACTTTTTGGAACTTTTGGTCCTTAATGATCTTCAGCTTTGTACTTGTTTTGGCTTTCGTACTTTTTTGGTCTTGGCGTTGCTGGTTGGTCTTGTGTGGACGAAACGTGCGTCTTGCGTATTAAATTGTAAACCTGGTACCTTTTGTAAGCTATTAATCGTATGTTTCTCTGTCCTATATGTTCTCCCATTTATTTGTATTGTAGTCCTGTCATGTAATGTTGTCATTTCAATGTTATATTTAACATTGCCATAAAAGCGGGAGGTTTGGCTAGCCACAAAACCAGGTTCAACCCATCATTTTTTTCTTAAAATGTCCTGTACCAAGTCAGGAAAATGGCCATTGTTATATTATAGTTCGTTTCTGTGTGTGTTACATTTTAATGTTGTGTTTCTGTTGTGTCGTAATTCTCCTCTTATATTTGATGTGTTTCCCTCAGTTTTAGTTTGTAACCCGGATTTGTTTTTTTCTCAATCGATTTATGAATTTCGAACAGCGGTATACTACTGTTGCCTTTATTTGCTAATCAAATCCCCTGGTTTCATTAGCAATTATTATCACAGGGAGGAACCTTAGCGTCATTGTTGTAGCGCTAAGGGACATTGTTCACAACCAGAAGTGAAATAAAATATTTAAAGTTGAAAAAAAAAAAAAAAAAAAAAAAAAAAAACGGAACATTGCAAATATGGTCCAAAAACTTCGTTTTTTGTCAAATTGTCAATGTACAAGGGGTACACATTTTTAAAAGTTGACATGAAAGTCAAATTTGGTCTAAAACATTAAACAACGACAATTGATAATCATAAATATCATATATTACAAACCAAACAATGCACACAACAATTATTTTAAATGAAAATTATACTGACAGAAAAGAATAACATTAGATTAGAAGGTCACTTATGAATAGATTATAGATATAATGTAATGTTTGTTGTTCTTTGTCTTAGGTAATCTCTTTAAATGAAACATACAATTTAGACTGCAGTGCTACATAAAAAAAAACATTACAATAAATTGATATATGCCAACTTATGAATTGCGTTATGTGATTATCAATTTTTAAATTCCTTATCTCTATATACTCTATAAACTTAAATTTTTAGCATGGAATTCTGGAGATTGGATTTACATGGAACTCTTCCAGAGGATTTGAAGAGCCGAGGGGTATGCTTCCTTTTTTTTTTTTTTTTTTTTTTTTTTGAAAAGACATTTTTTTTAATGTATTTGTTCACCTAAAATATTTATCCCATTTGAGAGATCAAATTTCGACATTTGAGTGATTTTTTTGCTGCATCCAACATGATGAGTTCAAAATAACAATGCATACAAAGAATAACAGAATAAAGTACAGAACCAGCATCCAAGCCAACCAACAACAATTGACTCCTCCGGGCTAATAGACATACAAAGACAATCAACAGCCAACAATGTGGTGGAATCAAAACATTTGTACTTGCACATAATTCCCATCTTTTAAAATTGAGAATGGAAATGGGAAATGTTTCATAGAGAAAACAACCCGACCAAAGAGCTGAAAACAGCCCAAGGCCACCAATGGGTCTTCAACACAGCGAGAAAATCCCCTACTCCTAGGCGGGCTTCAGCTGGCCCCTAAACAAAAATGTGTACTAGTTCAGTGAAAATGGACGTCACACTAAACTCCGAAACATATAAATGAACTAAAATTTAAAAAAAAATACAAGACTAAAGGCCAGAGGCTCCTGACTTGGGACAGGCTCAAAAATGCGGCGGGGTTAAACATGTTTTGTGAGATCTCAATCATTACCCTATACCTCTAGCCAATGTAGAATAAACAAACACATAGCAATACGCACATTAAAACTCAATTTAAAAGAAGTCCGAGTCCGATGTCAGAATAGGTAACACCAGAAACTTAATCAAAATGACAATGATACATAAAATATCAAAGGACTACTAGCAGTTACTGACATGCCAGCTCCAGACCTCAATTAAACTGATTGAAAGATTATGTCTTCATCATATGAAAATCAAGCACAATCCCTCCCGTTAGGGGTTTAGTATCAAACCATCATAAAATATCAAAGGACTACCAGCAGTTACTGACATGCCAGCTCCAGACCTCAATTAAACTGATTGAAAGATTATGTCTTCATCATATGAAAATCAAGCACAATCCCTCCCGTTAGGGGTTTAGTATCATACCATCATAAAATATATAAGAAGAACATAACCCGTATCATGCCAACAACTGGTTTTAAAATAAATGTGTTTATTTCCGATGCAAAGACCTTATGAGTGAATCAATATTCATTCCAAAATATGCCATCTTTAATGACCTGACAACAATATCGTAACTATACCCCTTCTTAATAAGTCTGTTTAAAGGTTTGGTTAGCTTTTGATGTGAATGACGACATTTTTGTGCTTTGTAAAGAATATTACCATAAAAGATTGAATGTGAAATACCTGAACGTATAAGATGTCCGTTTAGACCATACGGCTTTATAGAAAAAACATGCAATAAACAACAAGTCCATTACATATACATATAACATTCATTGTAAAAACCAACAGCTTCAATAGCAAATGATGATTTTACAAAAACGTCGTAGATAGAATTATGGTTATATATGCCTATATATGCATATGATGCTTACTTGGCTTTTTACTTTACATCTTTGAATCGTTTTTTTTTTTTTTTGTAAATTAAATAGAAATGCAAAATAGACAGTTAATCTGCTTTTAAAGCTATATTCATAATGTTTGTAGTTCAAAGGTTTGGTTGGCTTGCTTGCTTTGTTTGTATAAATGTTTCCTCAAGCATAGTAATTAAGATTGACATCTGAAATCAATAGATAGGCGGGGCTTCTGCTTGTATACATTATAGGACTACCAGCAGTTACTGACATGCTCCAGACCTCAATTAAAATGATTGAAAGATTATGTCTTCATCATATGAAAATCAAGCACAATCCCTCCCGTTAGGGGTTTAATATCATACCATCATAAAATATGTAAGAAGAACATAATCCGTATCATGCCAAAAACTGGTTTTAAAATAAATGTGTTTATTTCCGATGCAAAGACCCTATGAGTGAATCAATATTCATTCCAAAATATGCCATCTTTAATGACCTGACAACAGTAGCGTAACTATACTCCTTTTAAATTAGTCTGTTTAAAGGTTTGGGTAGCTTTTGAGGTGAATGACGATATTTTTGTGCTTTGTAAAGAATATTACCATAAAAGATTGAATGTGAAATACCTGAACGTATAAGATGTTCGTTTAGACCATACGGCTTTATAGAAAAACATGCAATAAACAACAAGTCCATTACATATACATATAACCTTCATTGCAAAAACCAACAGCTTCAATAGCAAATGATGATTTTACAAAAATGTCGTAGATAGAATTATGGTTATATATGTCTATGTATGCTTATGATGCTTACTTGGCTTTTTTACTTTACATCTTTGAATCGTTTTTTTTTTTGTAAATTAAAAAGAAATGCAAAATAGACAGTTAATCTGCTTTTAAAGCTATTTTCATAATGCTTGTAGTTCAAAGGTTTGGTTGGCTTGCTTGCTTTGTTTGTATAAATGTTTGCTCAAGCATTGTAATTAAGATTGACATCTGCAATCAATAGATAGGCGGGACTTCTGTTTGTATACATTATACTTAAATGTTATTGGATGTTAAGTATAATGCAGAGTATATGTATACAAGCTGAAGCTCCGCCTATCTATTGATTGCAGATGTCAATCTTAATTACAATGCTTGAGCAAACATTTATACAAACATCAAACAAGCCAACCAAACCTTTAAACTACATGCATTAGGAAAATAGCTCTAATGGCATGAATTTACAATTCTCATTACCGCTGGATTCATCAGTTATAGTTTTCTAAGAGGGGTCTTGTCAGTCTTTTGACAGAAACTTGTTGCATTCATTAGATTGAAGTATTTTAAACATGGATATGTTTGAATATCAACTCATTTTATATCATTTAAAGACTGGTTGGTCAGATAGCTCTTTAACTGTGTCGGTTCTTATAAATCCTTGGCTTTCAAATATTCAGCTTTGAGCGTTCCTGGTGAAGTTATATCTAGAAAAGCTGTTATGACGCATCCAATTTATATAAAGTGTTGTTTAAAAATTTACAGCACTGGGTAGATACCGCTACTGGTGGACTATCTGTCTCCGAGGGTATCATCAGCTCAGTAGTCAGTACTTCGGTACTGACATGATTGATTACAAACCTTTCTTAAATTGTCCGTTTCTAGATCATGCATTATTCAAAAATTAAGGGTTCAACTCCCTCAGCCAAAGTTGACCTTAGATGAGTTTGGCTATTATTTTTATAAACTTGTTGGTCAGATAGCTCTTAAACTATTTCGGTTTTTATACATCCTTCTCTTTCAAATATTCGGTTTTGAGCTTTCCTGATGAAGGTAAATCCAGAAAAGCGCTCATTTAATACTGATCATGTTAATGAATGATATATTTTACAGGTATTTGATCAGACTGTACTGACTGGAGCTTATCATATGAGAGATGATGCTCTGTTGTTATATGATGCCATTAGAACCTACGTAAAGAAATACGTAATGCACTACTATTGTAAGTTAACATTCGATACTACGGTAGATGTCAATTCCGAACTTTGGTTTCTAAAAATTAAAATGTTTAAACCGTAAGAAGTTGGAACCTCATTTGAAGTTGGTGTCTTGTGAGTTTTTAATGGTTTTTTATTAGCAGATAGCATTATCAAGGATTTGTATAGTATGAAATAGAAACCGAATAATAGAACTATTATAATATTAATTAAATTTACCTAAATATACCCCCTGGAAAGTTAGTAATGAATGTAACAGGGGTACTTGATGGAATGCTGTACATTAAGAATATTGTTAAACAGCAAGTTGTGCAATAAAGGAATTTTATGAGTGTTGAAATATGTTTTAACTTTATGAAATAATTCTCATTCTATTATGAACTTGATATCATTTTATGTGTGAGTCTTATGAAGTTTCATTTGTATCAATCAACGTTTTATTAAGTTTTGGCATATAACATCACTAAAGAGACATTTATCATCGAAATGCGCATCTGTTTCAGTAAATTCGGTACTGGTACTGCATTTTCATCCTACTTGCTGTTAATCAAAACAAAGAATATATGAAAGCATTAACTTTCAACCTTGTCTTTATGATTAATATAACAATGCAAATTACATCTATACAGTTGGTTCCTCCGAATTGAATATTTGAGTATTTTATAATATTGTTTCCTCTACAGCTGCAGATAGTTCTTTGACCGCTGATTATGAACTACAAAAATGGGGTGCAGAACTTGTAAAGTCCAGGGATGACGGCGGAGTTGGAATCTTGGTTTGTAGATAATCAGTTGTAAATTTAAGTATACAAGGCGCAATGATATTGAAGAATAATATTCCAATAATTCACAAACAAGTTTTTTGTTTACTTTGGTGTCTATGAAAACAATTAACATATAGACGAAAGAGAAAGTAGCGCATTAAGTTGACACATACCCGCATATTAGTATAATGATTTATATATATATTTGATTATTATACCAGCTCAAATCGGTCAGTGCTACTCATTGGGAATGTATTTCTACGCCATCCTTGTTGTCATATCTTAACTTTCGTCACCTGTGAAATTTTAGAAATGTACCAGTTCATATCGCACATGACTATTTTTGTTAGAAGCATATCTATGCAGTCTCTGTTGTAAATACCTTACCATAAGTCATTTTTGAAATTTTAGAATTGTACAAGCATTGTTCGGTTTTAATTGTATAAATTTAAAGATTGTTATAGTGTTATATCAGAATAGATTGATATGATTCATTTCACATCATAATCATACTGATGAAGGATATCTGTTATCCGAAATATTTATAGATAATTACATTTAATGTTTCCTTTTTTTTTTAATATTGGTGTTGTTTTGTACACTTTTTAGGCGTTTATATAATTTATTTATTGTGTACAGGTATCGTTACTGGTAACGATCCAGCGCCCTCGTAAGACAGATCGTAGACTATTACCTAGACGTTTTATATATACACATATATATATATATATAAGTCTAAAGATTGTTAAAAATATGTTGTGTATATGAAATCATAACTTAAAGAAAATAAAAATTTTAAGGACAAAAGATGTTGATGTAAATTCCAATTAATGTCATAACATAAACAGTACCAATTTTACTACTACAGATGCGCATTTCGACAATAGATGTATCTCTAATAATTCTCGAGGCAACAATTTTTGAAAATCCTAAATTTTATACAAATGTTGAAATGATGATAAAACTAAAGAGACAAAAAGTAAAGTGAAACCCGGACAATTGATCAGTTCTCTGCATGAGGGGGGTATTTCTTAATTTAAAATTAAGAGACAACAACCCTACCAAAGAGCTGAAAACAGCCCAAGGCCACCAATGGGTCATTAACACAGCGAGAAAATCCCGCACTCGGAGGCGGGCTTTAGCTGGCCCCTAAACAAAAATGTGTACTAGTTAAGTGAAACGGATGTCACACTAAACTCCGAAACATATAAATGAACCAAAATTAAAAAATATACAAGACTAACAAAGGCCAGAGGCTCCTGACTTGGGACAGGACGCAAAAATGCGGCCCCTTTTTTCTAACGTTAATGTCAGTTATACAACAATACAACTAAATTATATCTTATTGTTTTGTTACAGGGAGTCCCAAATAACGGTAAATTTGTAGCCACAGACCAACTTGTTCTAACATTGACAGCCATTATCTACACGTGTAGTGTTGGTCATGCCGCAGCCAACTTCCAACAGTATGATGAATATGGTGCTCCGTTTAATTACCCATACTTTCTGTCTGGAAGTCCGCCTAAAGATAAGGTAAGGGCTGGTGTTTAAAAAAATACAGGGAAGATTATATAAAGGAGGCACGAAAAAATCACAAATTAATGAAAACAAACAACATCACGACCAAATCAGTTTGATATCAGTCTTCACGACCAAATCAGTTTGATATCAGTCTTCACGACCAAATCAGTTTGATATCAGTCTTGTGTAATGTTTTTTTAAATGTTGAAAAATTAGAAGACGCTACTTATGATTTTTTACAAACCCAAATTTTGTTATTGACGTGTATATCACCGACTTATCTGGGTTATGTTGTACATACACTTCTTCATCTTTAACTTACGATATGGGAGGATTTTGGTACTAACAGATTAAGATAACCATGTTCTAACATTTTACTGTCCTTTCTCGAGTTGCCCAGTGATATGTTTGTATGTGTTTGCAGACATGTGTTTGTCTTGTTAAATTAATTCACTTTTCTGGACTTTCGAGTTTGGCACAGTTTAGCAAAAACAAAACTGAACAATTTATATGAATTGTTAAAGTCATTGGTCATGCATTCAGAACCGCATCAAATCATTACATATTTCATCATTAAAAACACTTTATTGATTGCCTTATGCAAGAGTTTTTTACTTATATTATCTTGGCACATTCTTTAGTTTCACGTTCATATATATTTATTAATTAGTAATGATATCTTGTCATTCAATAATACATATTTCATTCAGTCTTTAGTTTTCTATGTTGTGTTTTGCAGACTGTTCTTATTCTTTTCGTCGCCGATTGTTTTGCTTTTTGCATTGCGTTGTCAACTTGTCTTCGACTTATTGGCTTTGATATCTCTTTTTTATAATTATAAAGTGTAATAGTTATGTCGAATGGTTTTTAACTATGAATATAAGACTAAGCAAGCATGTCATAATTCAATTTTCTAGGTACACATATGTATTCATAAATTCGGTAAAAAACAACTGAATGAGTTTTGGCTGATTATTTGTCATGCCAATTAACATAATTTTTCACCAATTCACAACAATGTTTCCCATTGTTTGATGTGTTTAGGCTTTTGAGTTTGCCATTTGATATGGGACATTCCGTTTTGTATTTTCTTTGCAGTTCGGTAATTTTGTTATTTTACTTTTGACTATCGAAGACAAAAACGCATACCAGTCAGTGACTAACAAATGTCTCTGCTGGGTCAACCAAAGCAGTGAATTTTGAGAAATTCCGCTAACTCAATAAATTAATTAGGTCAATAGATGTGTGCCATGACTATATTGTATGATCTTCCATTTGTGTTACACGAATGGAATCACCGGAAAAAATAGAACATAGGAGTCTAACCTGCAAAATAAAATGAAAAACAGCAGAAATTGTTCCAACCGAGGGATGGGAGGGTTTAGGGTTTGTGTAATTATCCTCTCTATCGGTTCAATCACACGATATTTCACAGGGAATCTCCATTCTTTGTATACGGTATTTCAATGGGAATCTCCATTCTATGCATACGATATTTCACAGGAAATCTCGATTTTATGCATACGGTATTTCGAAGGGAATCTCCATTTTATGCATACGATATTTCGAAGGGAATTTCCATTTTATGCATACGATATTTCACAGGGAATCTCCATTTTATGCATACGATATTTCACAGGGAATCTCCATTTTATGCATACAATATTTCACAGGAAATCTACATTTTATGCATACGATATTTCACAGGGAATCTCCATTCTATGCATACGATATTTCACAGGGAATCTCGATTTTATGCATACGGTATTTCGAAGGGAATCTCCATTTTATGCATACGATATTTCGAAGGGAATTTCCATTTTATGCATACGATATTTCACAGGGAATCTCCATTTTATGACAGTATCAGGAACATTGGTGATCTTTTTTAATGTTAAATGATTTATTATTTTCTATTCTTTAGTAACATTTATGAATTAGTTTCAGTCAGATATCATATATATAGTTGTATCTTCATTGTGATTATAGAGTCCAGTTACTATAGAAACTGTCCTTAGGTCTATTTCAAACAGAATGCAGCTTTTACAGTTGATGGCAGCCACAAAAGTTCTTAGTGAGAAAGGAACACAAAGTCTAGGTGATTTTGAGAAACAATTAATAGTTGATCCACCAGCAATAAAATTTGTTGAAGAGTAAGTTTTATAGTTTATTTCAAGCCAGAAGCAATACAGCTTATAGGTATATCAAAAATATACACATGTATATTATAACAAAATATTTTGAATACAGTCGATGGCAAGACTACACAGTATGAATGATTCAAAGGATTGTCATGAAAATTTTATATCTGTGGCGTATTTCAAATATTTTCCTAAATTAGACAATTCCTTTAATTCTTTGTTGACAATAACTGAACTAATTTAAAAACAGATGCATTGTATAATGATACCTTTTAATTTACAATTTTCTTATATTGTCATATTTTGGACATTTTAAGATCCTCAATATCACCATGGTTAACATTCATTTACTGCAGATTCTTAATCGATCATATTTTAATGAGAACGATCAAATAGAAAAACTATTCAAACTATTAAAAATTGAAAACATATTACATACTATAGTTGTTAAACCAAATCATGGAGGTTTTAAGATAAAACTAAATATATATCAATTGAATAGCTATTACATTTGGTTTGCCCTAAAAACCTATTCTCATTTTCAAAGTTTTTGGATAACTTATAAACTACAAATGATCAAATGATTGGTCACATTGGTTTTCAAATGTTTAGATTTAAACATAACTGATTGAGGTAAATCTTGAACAGCGTTTTGGAAGCACGAAATTAATAAAGTGTTATTTTCATTTAAAATCACTTGCTTCGATACTGACATGATTTTTACAAACTTTGTAAAAGAACAAAGTTAGAAATTATCAAGAAACTAATGGTCCAATTTAAGGTTAAAGCCTAAAACTCGGAGGGCAATAATCAAGGTCAAATATAGGTCAAAGCGATATGTTACATATTATCCTATGAAGAAACAGACCTCTGCTTGTATACATTATACTTAAATGTTATTGGATGTTAAGTATGATGCAGAGTATATGTATACAAGCTGAAGCTCTGCCTATCTATTGATTGCAGATGTCAATCTTAATTACAATGCTTGAGCAAACATTTATACAAACAAAGCAAGCAAGCCAACCAAACCTTTAAACTACATGCATTAGGAAAATAGCTCTAAAGCTTTCCCGTTGTTAATTTTATTCATCTCATTGTAGGTTTCGACAGAATTTACGGGAGATCGGTAAGACAATTGACGAAAGAAACAAAAAAAGGAAACATCCATATGATGAGCTTCATCCATCGGCAATCCCAAATGCAATAAGCATCTAGATACTCAATCAATTATATCTGTTTTTGAACAAAGCCATTATAGTTTATGTATGCCAAGGCAAAGTTCAAAGCTTTTCAATAAATTACAGTCATTAAAAATATTGTGTTTGAATTCGCTTTAATATACTAGAATTTAGCTGCTATATTTGTAATTTTGTAACTGAGTTGATCAGTTGAGTTGAACTTTGTGAGTTGATATTGCTTTTATTTTTTAATTGTCATCCATAACGTACAGCCTTTGTGTAATAGTCCTAACACTATTAATCTTATGAATCTAAGTTATCCAGAAAAAAAGTATTGACAAAAAATACCGATCTCCAAGACAAATTCAAAAAGGAGAAGTCCATAAAAACGGAAAAGTCAAACGTTAAGACTTTGTCAATCAACGGAATGAATGGAAAACAACTGTTATATTCTTGACTTATTACAGACATTTTCTAAGTAAATTAAGATGATTGCAACCTACTCCAAAATATAAATTCCAGTGAATTGGGTGGGAGGGTATGAGTTATATATCAGCTGATTAAGTTAAGTTATTTTCCAGAAACTTCGAAAAATCCTTAAACGATATTATTTCGCATTATTGACCTGTGTGTTTTGTTTTCTTAGTATGAAGTTATTTTTCTGTACAAACACTGGGAAATTTCTTATTGCAATATATATACATAATTGTGATTTCAATATATTACTTAAGATATACTATATGTTGCTGATTTGATGTTTGTATTGACCTTGGTATCTTTTCCCTCTTTTTTTTTAAATATTTTTCTACTGACCCCTAAAGCAGTTATTTTAAAAGTCGCTGTAACTACAGACCCCTCAAACAGTTATTTTTAACGCCGCTGTACCTACAAACCCATTAAACAGTTATTTCCAACCGGAAGTCACCCGACGTTCAGATGTCCAAATTTCGTTTGAGTTGTCACCCGATGTTCAGATTTTCATTTTTTTATTACAAATTTCGTTTGAGTTGTCACCCGATGTTCAGATTTACATTTTTTTATTAAGTTGTCACCAAACGTTCAAATAATATATAAAAATAGGAAGATGTAGTATGATTGCCAATGAGACAACTCTCCACCAGAAACCAAACGCCTTAGAAGTTACCAACTATAGGTCACGGTATGGCATTCAACAATGAGTATATCGCATATATAGTAAGCTATAAAATATTACGAAATGACAAATGTAAAGCATTTCAAACGAGAAAACTAACGGCCTAATTTATAACAAAACAATTTACAAAAAGAAAAATGACAGAGATGAACCAATGATAACCTCTGCACTAGAAGCTCCTGACTTGTGACAAGCACATAAAGAATATACGGGATTAAACATGTTTGTCGGCCCTCAACTCTGTCCTAATCCGGGACAGTGGTGTAACAGCAGAACATAAGAACCAACTACAAAAAGCAGTTGCAATAGGCTAAACACAATAGATCGGTACAAAACAGCAACTAACATAAAATCAATAGACACAAAGCACCGATATAAGAGTACTCACAGTTACCGAAAGCTGGTTCAAAGCCAATTACAACTAATAAATAAATCATTTTCTCCCAGACTAAAGTATCAATCATTAGACATCCTAAGCATGACTTTAAAATATATATAACAGTATCGTCAGTGTGTAGGATCATGAGTTTTCATAATTGTAAAAATATAGCAGTGTGTGTTTAGTTTTGTTTTAATTCTTCAAAAACAAAATCAATGTTTGTACCGATAAAAACAATATTTGAATAATTTACTGGTGTGTTAAATTGATAATCTTAATGAATAAGTTTATTCAAAGGATCAATGATTTACATTGGCCATTTCTAGTTAACGGGCTCTATAAACAACATCACCGTAAAAATACGGATTTGATGTCCCGTCTTAATAAGAATTGTACAGGTACAGCTAAACTTCCTAACCATCACTATTGGCATTTTTAAATGGTTATAGATTATCCATTACAAAGCAATATTCCCCTTTGATTTGAAAGTCTATATATTGATTCGTTATGTTACACAAAAAGCCTAATTGATTTTCTGTTCCTTAATTGTAGATCTATTCAGAAACAATTTACATATAATCCATCATATATTGTAACCTGTGGACTGAAGTAATCAAATTGTCCGATGTGCCAGTTCAGTTTACTGGTTCATCATTTACTGATACTAACACAACAAATGGAAATCTGTATCTTACTATTGAAATTGAAAATTTATAGAGTTTAATTTGTTTTACTAGCACAGGACGGATACCGATGTGAGTGGAAATCAACTGCCCAGTAGCCCGTGCTTAGTCACTTACATGATTATGACATACATTTCAAGAATTCACTGTTGATTAATATATAAATCATAATAATAAACTAAGGTTCCAATTACCTCACCCAAAGTTGACCTTAGATGGTGTAAGCTAATCAGTTGACCTTAGATGGTGTTAGCTAATCAGTTGACCTTAGATGGTGTTAGCTAATCAGTTTAAAATCCGTTTGTTCATGTAAATCAAAAAGCACCTCGAGTATCGGTACATATCCGGCTTTTATTTTCTTCAGGGGGAAGTGGAAAAAGGGGGGGGGGGCATTCCGAATGAAGGTACGTACTATTTATTATAATACTAATATATGTATACAGGAACAGTATCCTAGATGTATCTAAACATTTCTATTTCTATCCATCAATTTAAAGTACTTTGTGTTTGTATTACGTACGCCATGTCTCTTTATAAGTTTCTGTACCAATCATGATTTCCAAGTGATTTATCTTTTCCTTTGCCATTCGAACCGGTCTCCATATCCAGATCACACCTATAACACAATTAAGTGTACGTATTATTGAGAAATGTGAATTACAAACGGAAATTGTTGGTTATGTTTACCAAATTATAATACACAAACCAAAACCACTTTATACGAATAAGCCAGTAACACTACATAAGTTTGGTTCCGGACAGGTGGTTCCGGACCGGTTTCTGCTGTCTTAATGCAATGGTTCATAAATGCAATATTCGACAGATTTTGACAAATTCAAGTATTCGTACCAAAAACGATTCAGACGGGCATTAAAAATTCAGACGTAACTTATTGCCACCTATCCTTGTGTCTTTTAGTTATTTGTATCGTTGGGCTACTATCTCATGATCGCGATTATTAATTTCTCCTTTGATTTATAATACATTTTGGTTCCTATTGTTCATACAATTTTTTAAAAGAAAATCGTAATGCAGCTGAGTATAAAAACTATCTTCTTATTTCTATTTACACCGTGTTATTTAGCGCAAAATAACATTTTGATTCTATGAATATGTGCAAAATTATTGAAAATCGATCAAAAATCATGAAGTATTAAATATGTTCATGTCTATTGTTTTAAAGTTGGAAATCATTGTAAATTAAGGAATAAATCCCCTTCATCAAACATGATTTCGTGTCCGGATTTGGCTATACTATTGGTCTCTTTGGGTTTCTCAGCTCTTCAACGTTTGTACTAGGTTTAGGATTTTCAAATTTTTGGCCCTCAACATCATTATAGCGACATTAATTGTCGGAATTCACATATGGTGCAGTAGATTGGTACCATTAATGTTATTTCACAGAGGTATTTTTAATTAATTTATTATTAAAGCTTTACTTCTGCTTAGGTTTTTGTGTTGTATATGTTTCGCTTTTTATCTTTCAATGTGTATTTGGTTTCCTATCTAGACTCTAGTCTGTGAAATCGTGCATTTATTTAAAATTCAGGGTTAGAGAACTTACATGAACAATTACAATTACGCTCAGTATTGTATGGTGCTTTATCACCGGATAGCGTTTATGATTCTTCAAGGATAAAACGTCGGAGGTCAGTAGTAGAGCAGGATCTGTTAACCATTCCGGAGCACCTGAACTAACCCTCGTTTTTGGTTGGGCTCGTGTAGCTCAATCTTTAGTTGTAAGTGTAGTGTTTTGTGGACGTTTGTTTGTCTTTTCTTTTTAATTTTGTCACTCACGATGTTGTGTGTTTTTCATTGACTTTTTTACTTATAGCCCCATTGGTAGTATACCTTCTCCCCTTTATTTCATGTAAAATGTTTGTACATTTGTATACTTTTATTCGTACTTTTATACTTACTCGCATGTTGATTCATTGAAACTAGCAAACCCTCTGCATTGTTTTGTCTGTACACATTCACACATGCACTTGCTTTCCCGCCAAATGTGTTTTGATGACGCACACGTTTGGCGTACTTTGCATACACATCTGCAGTCACTTTGAAGATATGTGTGTATATCTTGGTTACAGTCCGTAGCTTTAACACGACATAGTTGGTGACATTTTAGATGTCTCTCAACTCGAACTTCTTCTGTTCCGTTTAAAAGGTATTCTGCGGATTCCTGTTGTGGCAATATAAATTTAAGAACCTGCAAATGTTCAGTTTTAATATTGAAATTTCAATATATTAATTTATATTATATTTTTTTGTAAAATACGTCATATCAATGAAATGTCTGTCGGTAAACGTCATGGGACATCAACTAGAGCATACAAACTATCAAAACGTCATGGGACATCAACTAGAGCATACAAACAATCAAAACGCCATGGGACATCAACTAGAGCATACAAACTATCAAAACGTCATGGGTCAACTAGAGCATACAAACTATCAAAACGTCATGGGACATCAACTAGAGCATACAAACTATCAAAACGTCATGGGACATCAACTAGAGCATACAAACTATCAAAACGTCATGGGACATTAACTAGAGCATACAAACTATCAAAACGTCATGGGACAACAACTAGAGCATACAAACTATCAAAACGTCATGGGACATCAACTAGAGCATACAAACTATCAAAACATCATGGGACATCAACTAGAGCAAACAAACTATCAAAACGTCATGGGACATCAACTAGAGCATACAAACTATCAAAACGTCATGGGACATCAACTAGAGCATACAAACTATCAAAACGTCATGGGACATCAACTAGAACATACAAACTATCAAAACGTCATGGGAAATCAACTGAAGCATACAAACTATCAAAACGTCATGGGTCAACTAGAGCATACAAACTATTAAAACGTCATGGGACATCAACTAGAGCATACAAACTATCAAAACGTCATGGGACATCAACTAGAGCATACAAACTATCAAAACGTCATGGGACATCAACTAGAGCATACAAACTATCAAAAAAGACCTGAAGTAGTTGTGTTTATAGTTTTTGGTTTACAATAAAATATCCGCTTAGAATCCGCTATAAAATACATATTACCTGCTTTCCAATTTTATGCCGAATTCTTATTTCCTTGTCCAATTTAGCGATCATCCTCTTGCTAGCTGCATAAGGTCTAGAATGGCAAAAGGGGTGGTGTGCGTACGTAAAACTTGTTTAACACCACCACATTTTGTGCCTGTACCTAGTTGTGGTTTTTCTTTGTTTTGTACATAAAAATAAGATGATGTGGTATGGTTGTCAGTGAGACAAGTTTCTACCAGTGACCGAATGACGTAAAAGTTAGTATGGTATGGTTGTCAATGAGACAAGTTTCTACCAGTGACCGAATGACGTAAAAGTTAGTATGGTATGGTTGTCAATGAGACAAGTTTCTACCAGTGACCGAATGACGTAAAAGTTAGTATGGTATTGTTGTCAATGAGACAAGTTTCTACCAGTGACCGAATGACGTAAAAGTTAGTATGGTATTGTTGT